TTATATGTTATATTATTTAATTTATATTTTATATAACTTTTGGAAAAATGTATGGATCAATATTATTATTTTTTTATAATAAATATTTATATACTCCTTTCATCTACACGCTTTTTTTGTAAATCGGATCATACCCCTTTAACAAGGGGGGTCAAAACTTTAATCATGCGTATTGTTACTATGATATTTTCAATTTAATTTTTGAAAGTATTCCGGAAATACTGACACTTTTATATATATCTTAAATTAAAGCTTATATAATATACTTTAATTTAAAAAAAAAAATGTGACCTCTGGATTTGTCTTCACGGTAAAAATGACTACCGTATTCAAAAATTTGCTATTTTTGTGTTAAAATTCTGGGTTTTGTATTTTATTTTATTTTAAAATACCTGACAAGGGGACTACAGATTTTCATAAATATTATATAAATAAAAAATTAATATAGCATAGAAAGTTAAACTTATTTAAATTTGTTTGCTTCTTTTAAGTCGAGAAAAATAACTTTGAAATTTGAACTAGCTTAAATAGCCTATTTTTTCACCCGCCGGTAGCGACGTACGGTTGCCGAGTTGGTAAAATTTATGTTTTACACGCTTGGGGTACGAGGTTCCAACCCGCGTATGACAATACATTTTTTGCATTTTTTCTTTATTCTTTTTAAGTTAGTATAAATTTTTAACTCATTTAGATTCAATAACTTCAATAAAGATCAATGATCCCATCACTTTAGTCGCCCCTTGCAAGAAGAAATTTATCATTCATATTAAAATTATTTTACTATATTTTAAGTTTTAGCTTCGATGCAAAGCCGAGAAGATGTTTTTTTGTGAATATCATTTATTTTCTCTGCTCTAACTTGACCTACTTTTTTCAACGATACGTCCAATGACTACAATTCGTATCTAGTTGAAGATATTACTCTCAAAAATTGAAAAAAAAATTCTAATTTATCAATTAAACAGTTAGTTATTACATCGTCTCCATAAAGACAATTAAAATCATTAATTTCTAATGTTTTCAAAATATTTATTAACGAATGAAGTTTGCTATGATAGGTTTCAACTACAAAATTAAATCATTTTACTTTGTAATTTAATAATTTTTTTACTCTATTTGTGTGTGCTACTACTAGACTATAATATTACAATTTTTTTTTGTAACATGTTGCTATATAAATCATTTCTAAAAAAAATGATTGTTTTTTCTCCTGAATTAACAATTGATTTTTACAAATATAATCAAATTTTATAATACACTCAATTGAGTAAATCTTTTTAACAACTTTGTTTTGATTGGTACATTTAGTTAAAGTAAATCATTAAAATTAATTAAGTTCTCAATATTTCAATTATAGAATCTTTTCAACAAACAACAAAAGTTCCTAGGAAATTATTACTATTACTTCTATTTAAGTTATCTATTACCACAAAAATGCAAAAAAATATTGAGCTTTTCTGATAAATTTACAATAAATAGTAATTATAAAACTTTCTGACTGCATATTGATCTTAACGATACAATTTTTTTAATTGTCATAAAATTTTCTATTTAATTATGTCAATGTCAAACTTACCAATTGAGCTAAAAGTTATGGTAAAATAAATTTTTTTTTTTTATTATAAACATTTACAACAATCAACTTTAAACGATTAACAAAATAGGTTAAATATGTCATTTTCCTTATTTTTAACTTATTAATAATCAAATTAATATTAAATATTATATCAAATCAGTATTAATTTAAAACAATTTTTTTTGTTCTTAATTATTTTTTTTTATATGTAAAAACTATTTTTTAATAATATTAAAACTTAGAAGTTATAGAAAAAGTCTAATTGCACATTTTAAAACATCGCGAAAAGTTGATTTAGAATAGTATATTTTTGTTTCTGATGGAAGTTCCTTGTAGTCCAGTGTATAAAACTTATAACTTTGTTAATTGTTATAACTTTATCAAAAATGACCAAATCAGTATATTTTTTTTTATTTAGATGCATGTCTTTATCTATCATTTGGTTTTTTTTATAAATCTAACCCTTTACCTGCCCACAAGAGGGATTCAAAATATTAACTTTTTTTTTTTTAGTTAAAGTAAATCATTAAAATTAATTCAGTTCTGGATATTTCAATAGTAGAATCTTTTTAAATATCAAAAATTACTTAGAAATGATTACTATGATTTCTATTTAAGTGTTCTATTACGATAAAAATGCAAAAAATAATGAGTTTTTCTGATAAATTTACAATAAATAATAATTATAAAACTTTCTGACTGCATATTAATCTTAAAAATAACATTGTTTTAATTCTCATAAAATTTTCTATTTAATGATTCATTCTAGTCAACGAAGGAGTAATTTTGCAGAATAGCAGAAAAAATTCCCAACAAACTTTTTTTTTTTTTGTTTTAATTAGGCAATTGGTGGATTATTCCAAAAGCAACATCAACTCTTATTTCTTTAATTATATCATGATTAGTAGTTCTTTGATTTTAAAATATAATATATGAATATATACTAATTATAATTATTAAATTTAGTATGAAATTGATATTTAATATTGTAATTTAAACGGAGAAATTATAAAAATAATAAAGAAGTTATATTTTGCTTTACTTTTACGTGTATAAAAATTTAAAGGGCTTGATACAATAATTTTCAATAAAAACTGTTTGTTACTATAAAAAAATGCACTGGACTACAAGGAACTTTCATCAGAAGCAAAAATATACTTTTCTAAATCAAATTTTCGCGTTGTTTTCAAATCTGCAAGTAGACTATTTCTATCACTTCTAATTTTTTATATTATTACTAATTATATATATAAAATAATAATTAAAAGAAAAAAAAATTTGTTTTCAAATTATTACTGATTTGATTTTTAATATGTTAAAAATAATCAGTCCAAATTTTCAATTTTAACCTATTTTTTTGGTTCTTTAAAGTTGATGAAAAATTTTTGATAAAGATTTATGAAAGTTTATAGTAAAATAAATTGAATATATTACCATAACTTTTAGCTCAATTACAAGTTTAAAATTGACATCTAGGCCTGTCAACAAAGGAAAAATTGCGGAAAAAATTTTGTTTTTTTAAAAGTTGAATTAAAATATGTATAATGACATACTAATAGTCCTCAAGATTGGAATTGAGCTTTTTTTTTAAATCCTCGCAAAAGTTCAAAAATATGAGCTTTCTTAATTTTCTCAAAAAAAAATATTTAACTTACAAAAAAAAGTTTCGCACAAAAGTTGTTTAAAAGACAATTATAAATAAAAATATAATCTTATATTTTTTCATTTAAACAAATATTTTTCGAGTTACATTACATTTAATATGAGTAATAAAATTTATATTCCATTTTTTTCATTTTACGGTTACTTTTTATCATGTTATACTTACATTAGACACAATGTTATAAATGCATATGTGTGTATGTGTGAGTTTATTTATTTATTGTATCATTAAAGTGTAGTGTATATTGAGATACAACCGATAGAGTAGGTAATTGATTTGACGCTATATTATTTAAACCCAACTAAACGCTAAATTGTACATTCCGAAATAACAATCATATTATGTCAATTGCCACCGGAATATCTGGTAATATTTTTCTTTTTCTTTGCCTTAATCCCAACTACTTGGGGTCGGCCACCCTTATCCTAAGCTTCCACTTGACACGATCTCCCACATCTTCTACGCTCACATCAGCTGTCCTCAAATCGCATTCAATAGCATCCCTCCATCTCTTTTTTGGTCTTCCTCTATCTCTTCTTCCTTCAACATTCATTTCTATAACTGTTCTTACAGCTTTCGATTCTTCTTTCCTCATACCATGACTAAACAATCTAAGTCTATTTTCTGTCATCTTATCCACGATTGACGCAACACCTATACTTCCTCTTATATGCTCGTTCCTTATCCTATCTTCTCTAGTCACTCCACTCATCCAACTAAGCATTCTCATCTCTGCTACACTTATTCTCTGCTCTACTTTCTTATCAACCGCCCAACACTATGAACCATACATCATAGCTGGCCACACAATTTCATACTAAATTTAAAAACTATAATTAGTATTTATTCATATATTATATTTTAAAATCAAAGAACTACTAATCAGGATATAATTAAAGAAATAAGAGTTCATGTTGCTTTTAAAATATTTCACCAATTTCTCTAAAGGAAACACTATCTACAGATTTGCATCGAAGCGTTTCTTATGATAGTGATTTTAATCACTGTCAGATATCATATATACTTGTCCCATCTATGCCTCGTCCACACTGTGCCTCGACCCCACTGTGCTACCGTTTTTTTATTTAATATTTTTAAATATTTTATACATATATATCACTATTATTCATATTTGTAAAATAATATTTTTCTTGTCAATGGTATAATAACTTATAATATTTATTTAAAATCGTAGTATTCATTTTTCTATTTTTAAATGTTTATATACTTTTTATGTCCATTCATTATTAGGGTACCAACTTTAATTTTTTTGATGGTAACATACATATTTAACTGTATCATATTATAGAAAATAATTGGTAGTTAACAACTTTTGAAACAGTTGTTTTGGACTTATAAATATTTTATACCTGTGTGAGAGGGTAACGCTGCAGTGTTATGTAATGATAAAAATAACATAAGCCACATCTCACCTCCAGTCTACATTTGAAAATTTTAGTAAATTCCAAAATACTGGGTCAAAAGTTGTTGTTATATAATAATATACTCCAGTAGGGCCCATTATAGTCCAGTCATAGCCATAATTGTGATTTTTAAGGCAGATAGTAATGGTCAGTGTCGATATTAGATATGATTGATGTGTATAACTGCACAGTACGCCTCATAAAATAAAATGTGTTAAGATATTATCACAAGTTAAAAGCTTTTTTTTTTGCTAGTTACTTGAAAAGTCATACATTTTAAAAATTGTGCACAGTGTGCCAAAGGTTTGAAACTGGCATTGAAAGTAGTACACAAATATAGTGACTAATTGCTCATGTTAAAAACATTATGTTTATTAAATTCTTACATAAATTTTAGAAGGTGACAAAATCGTAAATTTGATCCTGATCACGTATGAACATAACTAAGGTTACTATTACACTTAAACAGGGGAGAGAATATTAGATGTTAATACTAAAAAAAAATATTTGGATGGATTTTAACCCTTTAAATTATAATCTTTACTTAATTTTAATACCATCTATATCTGATTTTAATTTTAATTGTCTTTAAAAAATAATAAAAAAAAAAGTTATTTTAACATTACATGATAAAAACTTTAGTTTAAGTGTACGCCCAAGGGGTCATTTTGAGAGCGATTGCTCATCGTGATTACTCAATGGCCCATGAAAATTAGGTATTTTTTTAATACAATCTGAAAGGACTTAAAGAGATCCCAAATTTTATCTGATCTCCTCTAAACAAAAAAAAATGTTCAATATTACAAATAAATATATTTTAGGTTAAGAATTAAATTAGATGGATAAAACAACTATTCAAATTTCACAATTTGTAATAACTCTTAAAGTTCTAAATATAATCAAATAATTATATTGACTATAGTCACTGATTAAGTTTTTATTTACTTGACTTATATTTTTACAATTAAATTAATATTGGAGAAGTAATTGAGATTCATTATAAAATATTTGAAATTTGTTATTTGTTATTATTATAAACATGGTTTCATAAGATAAATTGAATTTTTAATAAAATATATATTAATAAATAATAAAATTAGATATTAAAAAAGAAGTAACAATTAATAAAAATATAAGTAATGGGTAATTTTATAATTTAAGATTACTCATATTTATTAACAAGGTCATAGAATTAATATTTAATAATTTTATCAAGTAATAAATAAAGTATTTAGTTTAATTTGTTTTTTTTTTTTATAAAACAAATTATTTTATTACAAATGAATTTTTACTTTTAGTATACTTTTTGTTTTTAGTTGATAATTTTGGCTCAGGTTCTGTTGAGTTAAATACTAATGGAGTAGATACTCTAAATATAGTTGGCACCATTGTTGCTAGTATCCCAAATACTTCTTCCGATATACCCTACACATATATTTTTTAATAAGAATAAAAACTTATGTTATGTTAATTAATTATGACTGGTTGATTATACTAACTTTTGGTACTAGAAACTGAATTGTTTTTAGCTCTGAGCCTCCTAAGGATACTGACTCAATCATAAATCCTTTTACACACTTCAAAACTAATTCTGCTCGTTTTTGGCACCATGGAACTGTCATATCCTATTATTTTAATTTAATATGAATGCATGAAATTAAAAGTATTTAATTATTTCAAAATATTTCTTATATTTTAGAAAATATTTTAAAAAAATTTGAGCACACTCTCTCCCTTTAATACTGCCCAGTATATTCTTACTTCAGTCATTTCGTGATTCAAAAACAATGGAATAGTTATCATGGTTATATCATATGAACATGCAGCTTTTAGTATGTTTCTTAATCCCAAAATAACAGGGTGCCTTGAATTAGTATCTGCTGGAAAATAATTTTAAGCAAATTATAAAAACAATTAATCATTAATTAAAATATTCAATAATGAGGCATATGTATTTACTATTTTAAAAAATAGTAAACACATATGTAAATAATTGAATAAAAAATTAAGAATAAATATAATATTGAAAACAGAAAGCTGTCATAAGTCTACGCTGTAAAGATTCTTCATTTTCCTATACATTTATTAGTTTTTGTGACTTATTATCTTTCCCATGTCACACCTCAATTGTACCTGATTTTAATGAGTCATCAATAACCATATGAAATATAAGATGAACAGAAGCAAGATTGGAATGTTTTGTTATATATACATCTCCACATTGTAACAACTTCGATTTATTACGTCGAGCCTATAAAAGATGTTCAATAAAATTGAAAGAAAATAAATACTAAATAATGATACAAGTTATTATAATAAAGTGATTTGTATAATATTACACATTAAAAAACGGTAGCACAGTGGGGTCGAGGCACAGTGTAGACAAGGCATAGATGGAACAAGTATAGATGATATTTGACAGTGATTAAAATCACTATCATAAGAAACGCTTCGATGCAAATCTGTAGATAGTGTTTCATTTAGAGAAATTGGTGGATTATTCCAAAAGCAACATCCACTATTATTTCTTTGATTATATCCTAATTAGTAGTTCTAATTAGTACTAATTATAATTAATACTAATTATAATTATTAAATTTAGTATGAAAATAAAAAAGTAAAAAAAGTTTAATAAGTTTAATTTCTTATGTCTTATGACCTTTATTCTATGTCAATTAAATTATATAATATTAATGAAAGTCAATATATTCTCCTAATAAGATATTTTAAAATAAAATAAAATACAAAACCTAGAATTTTAATAGAAAAATAGCATATTTTTGAATACGGTAGCCATTTGCGCATAGAAGATAGGTCGTCGGGACAAATTTTTTTTTTCATTTTATAGTACATAAAATAAGCTTTAATTTTATATATGTTTAAAGGACGCAGTATTTCCGGAACATTTTCAAAAATTAAGTTGAAAAAGTTAGTTTTTGTAAAAAAGTTGCTATTTTAAATCCCCCCCCAATGAGCAGGTTAAGTGTTAGATTTTCAAAAAATGATATCAAATGAAAGGGAAATATCCAAGGTTTTAGTATAAAAAAAAATTATGTTGATTTTTGAAAAATTTATGGAAGTTTTAAGAAAAAAAAGTGAAAAAAATGACATAATTTATCGATTTTTAAATTTGTAATTTTTTTGGAGATTTCCCCTATTTGCGGGCAACGAGGGCAAATTTTTCAATTTTTAAGGGTAATGTCTTCAATTAGATACGATTTGTGATCTTTTGACGTATTTTTGAAAGAAAATGGTCCAGTGAAAGCTGAGAAAAAGTGGCAACAGACATAAAAAAAAAAACATCATAGTAAAATTAATACCTTCTCCGCTTCGCATCGAAGCTAAAAAAAATAGTTTCCAAATTAAAATATAACTGGATTTAAAAATTAAATAAATATGTGTTGGACCTTATATTTGTTATAAGATTTCTAATGAATGAAGATGTGTTTAATTACTTTTAAATTAAGATTATCAAGATAACTAAAGAAATATGTTATAAATAGTTATAATTATATTCATAGGCTTTTAAAAAGAGGGGTATGGTCGATGGTATATTTAAAAATTATGTTTAGGCTTCCAGAAAGCTTTTAAGAACAAAGTAGTGGGAAGGTTCACCCTTTCAATATACCTCATTATTATAGTTTAATGTTTATGAGGATATATGTCACTGGTTATGGGGGATAAAATCCCTCCCATGATAAAAAAAATATATGATTAAAGTGAGAAGCTAAAAAACTAAGCAACTATACTATATTATTTATTTAAAGAGATAATTAGGATAGTAGGTAAGCAGACCTAGGTCCAAATTGATAAATTTTTTTTATTGCATAATTTTACAGACACTTAAGAAAAACACCAAACAAGTAAAGAAAATGTTTAGATAAGCTCTTGTTTTTATAAAAAAATGCATTTGAAAAAGGAAAATATTATATGACTAATACAAAAATTACATTTTTGTGTTCCCTCTGAAAATGTTAAAGACGAGTGTGTTTTTACTTATTCACTGTCAATTAGAGTTTTTGAGGTTAACACAAAAATTTAGTTTTCAGAAAATATTTATTTTTTTGAGTTAAGCTGAGTTTTAACCTGTTATTCACAGGTAATAAAACAGTAATTAAAAATGTAGAGAATTATTAGTTAGAACTCATAGCTTTAGCTCTATTTAACAAATATTTAAAGTTAAAAAAAAAATCCTAAATACATTGATAACTAGAGATTTTAAAATTAAAGAAGTTTAGTATAAAAACAATATAGCTGTTTTTATAGAAAAATACTTTTTACAAATAAACTTACAAATTTAATTTAAAATTCTTATTTTTGATTCTTAACCTTAACTCTAATCTAAAGTAAAATATTTCTCCCATTTCTTTTTTTTTTTTTACAAAATCTTTTACACTTAGAACAAATAAATTTGTTTGTATTAGATCAGCTATAATTGAATAAAATGTACTATTGAAATTATAGCTCAGGAAATAATAATCATTCTATATTTATCAGCTAACTTCAAATAAATTCAAAACAATATATTTAGGTACATTACACCTATAATGATATTATATTACCTGCAACTCAGGTGACAGAAAGTTACTAATAGGCCCTTTACATTTACGATTTTCTACAGCTACCTTGAGATCAGATTTCATAGTTTCTAATTGATCTTGAAGTGATGCAAAATGAAATTCAGTACTACCTTCACAAATGTCAAAAAATTCTAAAAAAAATATTTTATTTAATATTTATACAGTACTTTCCATTAATAAATTTATTTAGCAAGTAAAAATTCAGACATTTGAAGTATGATTATTGTATTCATAATATGGTAATATTATATTATATCTAATTTTTAACGTTGCCTGTAACATATACAATACTTGACTTTAAAGCCTTTTAAGAAATGCAATTTCTACCTTGTCTACAATAGACTGGAAAATTAGACATTATATAAAATGACTGGGCAATGTATACCATGTTGAAATTTTTGAATGTAAAAAAATTTCACATTGAAAATTTTGATTAAAACAAAGGCCCAATTTCAATATTAAAAAAAAAAATTGTACAAGTTTAAAATAACAAATATACTATTTTATAGAATAATTTAATTCATTTAATAGGAACAATAATTTTTTAAAAAATGTGGAGTTGGGCTCCAAAAAATTATTTCATTTAAAAAAATTTGTTCTTTTATCCATTTTTTACAAAATATATATATATATATAAATATATTAAATGTCATTTAACATATTTTTTTTTTTAATTAAGCTGTTAAAATTATTTATTTACTGTTAATACTATACCTTTTGCTAGACCAGAATAAAAATCTAAATTATTTGTATCAGTAAAAAGAACTAGACCTTTTAAATCATGAGAATATAGTTCAAGAACTGTTTGTAATCGTTGGGGATGATGCATTATAGTACTAAAACATATAAAAGTATTTTATAAATTAAATATCAAAATAATTATTTATATAAGTTTTAATTAACAAGCATACCCATTTTCATCTAATGTAATCCGTAAAAGGTCTAAAGTATCTGCTGACATTATACGAATATTGTGAGTAGATTTCATTTGAGATCCAAGATGTATGGTAAAACTTTCCTCTAAATCATACAAAGATGAGTTAGAAATAGTGAACTCATTAACAATTGATCCAATAGGAGAGTTTCTAATACAATAAATAGTAAATATAAATAAAAAAATAAAATATTAGTGAAAACAATATTCATCAAAAAAATTCTTACCCAATTGGAGAAAAGATACCATCTGTTCCTTGCATTTCTTCAACAGTTTTCATAATCCATTCTCTATAACCATTACGTTGTTCTTGTTTTAATGTATCCAATTTACTATTCCATTTACCCTTAATATATTAAAATATTATAAGAATAGTAAAATGATATACTTATTTTTGTACATACTTGTATTAAAGTTTGATCATCAAAATGCTTCAATGCTAAAGCATTTATATCTTCTTCATTACTATATTTATTTAATCCTTCCATAGCATAATTCATTTCTTCAGTTTGACTAAAGATATATAAATATTAGGAAATATTATATATATATAAGCTTAATGGTTTTACAAAGTTGGCAGATAATATAATTAATATCAATCACCAATTAGTATTTAATTACTCTAAGTACTTAAAATACAGTAATTTAGCTTAAAGCTTATATTAGGCTCACAAATATCTTGTAAAAAATAGAAATAATTATTAATCCTTATTTTGGTTTTTTTTACTTTTATGCATATTTTTTATGGTATTTAAATTGTAAACAATAAATTATATATTAAAGCAGTAGTGGTAAAAATTTTTTTAGCAATTAATATACGAGTAAGGATTAACATGAAATAATAAATAGTAATATTTATAATTAAAATTTTAAGAAATTAGTTTTTAAAAATTTTCCAAAAATTTTAATTTGTTCACTTATACTTTTTTAGTAAATTGACATTCAAATACATTTATTCATAAACCTACATTTTTGTAACAGATAAAATTTGTCTTTTCTTCCTTGTAATAATATCTTGTACAGCTTGTGCATAGCCATATTCTATATGAAGTATTGCATCTAAAGACGGTCCTGAATGTGCTAATTTGTGAAATGCCGTTGCAAACAGTTGATCATTACTTGCCCCCCTAATATTACTGTATGTTACAGTTTCCTACAAAAATTTATATAAGATATTATTAATGAAGAAAATACATGACATTTAATAGAGTTTACTTCTTTGAAAGCTTTTTCCCAATACTTCACTATGTCTTCTATCTCTATTGTTTCATTTTTAATACAATCAATAGCATCATAAGTTAAGCAATCATTCAATTTTTCAGAATGATCATTTATAAACATCTCTAATTTTTTAATAATATCTGTAATTCAAAATTTGTTTGAATTTTATCACATTCATGAGAGTGTAGTAGTTACATTAAATAATAACTTTATTTTTAACATATTATTTATTTTACTAACCATCTAGAACATATATTGGCAAATTAAATCCACTTATAATTCTACATGCCAATTCATTAATATTTCCTTCAAATGGAAAATCAATAGGTACTTTAATTTTATAATGACCAGAAATTTTTAGATTTGAATAAGTATAAATAAAATTTTCTACAAATTTTTTATTTGTTTCTTTTATTTCACACATTTCACAAGAAATAAATGCTCAATTAAATTAATAATTAATATTAAGTATTTACCACATATTTCAAAGTAAAAAATCAGAATTTTATAAATAATAAAACTACTAATTTTTAATTAATAAGTTTAAAATTTAAATGTCAGAACCATTCTTCTGACAATTGTGTTATTCTTATCTATAAATATCCTTGCATTATCAACTCTGCATATTTAGGAAAGTCAGATAATGTAAATTAAAAATAAGTTATTAGTAGATAACATTCTTTTTATTATTGTACAATGCTTAGGAAAAAATGCATATCTCTTGTTATATTGAAATAATATGATAGTCTTTAATTAGTCTAAGAACCGAAATAATTTTGGTTTATGATAATATTTTTTATCAAGTTAAATTAGTTCATCTAAATTGAATTTTATTTATTACATGTTAAAAAAAGTATAACAGAATACAAAAATAATTAAGAGACCATCTTTAAAACTAAATTTAACTTAAAATTTGTCTACATGAGTTTTAAAAAAGCTTTATTTGATATATGTTTAAAGGACGCAGTATTTCCGGAACATTTTCAAAAATTAAGTTGAAAAAGTTAATTTTTGTAAAAAATTTGCTATTTTAAATCCCTCCCAATGAGCAAGTTAAGTGATAGATTTTCAAAAAAATGATATCAAATGAAAGGAAAATATCTAAGGTTTTAGTATAAAAAAAAATTATGTTTATTTGTTCATTTTTCAAAAAGTTATGGAAGTTTTAAGACAAAAAAATGACAAAATTTACCGATTTTTAAATTTGTAATTTTTTTGGAGATTTTCCCTATTTGCGGGCAACGAGGGCAAATTTTTCAATTTTTAAGGGTAATGTCTTCAATTAGATACGATTTGTGATCTTTTGACATATTTTTGAAAGAAAATGGTCCAGTGAGAGCTGAGAAAAAGTGGCAACAGACATAAAAAAAAAAAAAAAAACATCATAGTAAAATTAACATTGAAGCTAAAATGAAAAAATATATAGGTTGGAGTGTTCTAAAAATTTATGTAGTTATTAAATGTTTAGTTTAGTTAAGGTTTTAAAAGCGATTTTATAATACAATCATTATCCTTACAAATTCAATATAGGTTACACATTTTGTTCCTAGCCCCAATTGAAATACATTTCCATCAAAACAAAAACGATGAAATATGAGCGTTCTGAAGGTTTAGTCTAGGGAAAAATACAAATGAAACCTTTTTTAACTATCCTTTCAAAACTCACTTTAATCATATATTTTTTTTATCATGGGAGGGATTTTATCCCCCATAACCAGTGACATATATCCTCATAAACATTAAACTATAATAATGAGGTATATTGAAAGGGTGAACCTTCCCACTACTTTGTTCTTAAAAGCTTTCTGGAAGCCTAAACATAATTTTTAAATATACCATCGACCATACCCCTCTTTTTAAAAGCCTATGAATATAATTATAACTATTTATAACATATTTCTTTAGTTATCTTGATAATCTTAATTTAAAAGTAATTAAACACATCTTCATTCATTAGAAATCTTATAACAAATATAAGGTCCAACACATATTTATTTAATTTTTAAATCCAGTTATATTTTAATTTGGAAACTATTTTTTTTAGCTTCGATGCGAAGCGGAGAAGGTATTAATTTTACTATGATGTTTTTTTTTTTATGTCTGTTGCCACTTTTTCTCAGCTTTCACTGGACCATTTTCTTTCAAAAATACGTCAAAAGATCACAAATCGTATCTAATTGAAGACATTACCCTTAAAAATTGAAAAATTTGCCCTCGTTGCCCGCAAATAGGGGAAATCTCCAAAAAAATTACAAATTTAAAAATCGATAAATTATGTCATTTTTTTCACTTTTTTTTCTTAAAACTTCCATAAATTTTTCAAAAATCAACATAATTTTTTTTTATACTAAAACCTTGGATATTTCCCTTTCATTTGATATCATTTTTTGAAAATCTAACACTTAACCTGCTCATTGGGGGGGGATTTAAAATAGCAACTTTTTTACAAAAACTAACTTTTTCAACTTAATTTTTGAAAATGTTCCGGAAATACTGCGTCCTTCAGACATATATCAAATTAACGCTTTTTTTATGTACTATAAAATGAAAAAAAAAATTTGTCCCGACGACCTATCTTCTATACGCAAATGGCTACCGTATTCAAAAATATGCTATTTTAACAAATTTTTTTTTTTTTAATTAAACACTATCTACAGATTTGCATCGAAGCGTTTTTTATGATAGTGATTTTAATCACTGTCAGATATCATCTATACTGGACCCAACTATGCCACGACCCCACTGTGCTGGGTTTTTTTTTTAATATTATTTCTATAAGTGTGGTCTCTAAAATGTTAACACAATATATTTAAATAAATATGATAACCAGCTAAATTTTACTTTGAATTATTTCATAATAACTCATGTTATTTTTAAAATGACCTTTGAAAAATACAAAGAAAAAAACATAAAACAGGAAAAAAAGCAAGTAAATAAATGTCCTCATTTATTTAGAAAAATCAAATATAACATCCAAATTAAAGGAAGCTAGTTGTTGGTCGACGAACAGAGAAAGTATTGTAACGACGACGTTTACCCTCAACACGATGAGGCAATGGAAAACGAATATCACTGTCGTGGAATTGTTTAACATGTGGTCTTCTAGTATTCTTGGCCTTTACTACTTCTACTTTGATAATCTAAATCAAATAAATATTATTAAATAAATAGAAATTATTAGAAAAAAACCTTTTAATTAAAACAAAAAGTTTAGTTATTGGACTATAGCCTTTATAATATTAAGCCATATTGAGTATAATATATTATAATGTATTCACTTAGCATATAAAATTTAGCAACAAACTCCAGTTATGGATTAATCACTTGGTACAGAGATTATATAGTTATATAAACTCTTTTAAATAGGTCATATAGACTTCAACTAAGAAAAGCTAAAAACAGTTCATTTTTTTGAATGTAGAGTGAAGTAAAATAATTTTAAACAAATGAAGAATTGTAAATTCATTATTTATTTTGAAATATAAAACAGATACTACTTTAGATTGAAAAATTTAAACCTTGAAATTTTCTTATTTTGAACCAGAAAAATTATATTAATTCTGTAGTAATGATTTTTGCTAGTCTTAAAAAAATTAAATTTAACCTCTCCTAAAAATTATGTATTTATTAAAATTATTAATGCAAATTAAAATATTACCTGAATAGAATGGGCTCTAGCTCTGTGTCTTGCTCCCATATCTCTGTAACATTTTGTGACAGCACTAGCAACTGTTGTATCTCTATATTCACGGTACATGTTATGCGTTCCTGAACGTGAATCATAGCGTAGCCACACTCCAAAATTTTTAATTTTAGTAGGAGATTTATCTGGAACCTAACATTAAAGGTTTAAAAATTAAATTATTCATTTTATAACAATGAATATTAAGAACATAATAGTTTAAGAGCAAAGACGTTTAATGCTTTATATATGGATTATTTTATTATTTAAATATTAAAAATAAGGAAGAAAGAACTAAAGTAAATTAAGCTCCTAAAAAAATTAATTTTAACATTAAAATTATTTGAATACTCAAGCATTTATCTTAAGGGAAAAAAGTTTTTAAATTACTAGGAACTAAATACATTAAGATTAAAATGTTTTAGTCAAAAATAAATAAAATACAATAAATAATATTACATACTTCCTTCAATGATACAATTTCTCCAGTACTTTTCTTAAACTTCTTTAACTGTCTTAGAAAATACCAAAAACGAGATTTAGCTACAATACGATCTGGAGCAAAAATTCTCATTTTATACAGAGGCGTAGTTTTTTCTTTTTCGGTAGGTAATTTTCGACCTATTACCTCATACTCCTTCAACTATAAAAATAATAAATTAAGTTATAATTCATTCAAATTCATATTGAAGATTATTAATTAGAATCTAAATTTCAATAATTATAGCCACATGTGTTGAATAACTTCCAGCTCACAAGATATACTTAATAAAAATAAAAGTTCTGTAAGTGTTTTTCAGTAACACATTAAGACAAATTTTGTAAGTAATTAATTTCAGAATTAACTTACATCTCCTTTAGCTTTCATTTTGATGACAAACTTTAAAACAATGTAAAATAAAAGTTCAAATAGAAAGATATTAAAAGTAGAAGACGATTTGATGATCAAACATAACCTAAATAAATTAAAATGTAACATATCATTGAATTTCATGGATGTTATAACAGTGGTTATTGAGGTTACATATAAGTAACTACTTTACATGTAACCTGTTCCGTGATAATATAAAGTTGGTTAAAAATGTTTACTCGTGGTTGAAGATCTCATTTGAACTGTACTTAAAAAATATCGACAATTTTTTTTACTGAGTTATTTTTAAAAGCAAATAATAGACTTGATAATACGGAACAATCAATGAAAACGTAATGCGAAAATTGTATGCTCTTTATATTTGAAGGGTATTTGATTACCTAAAATATCTTGGCATTAATTTATTGATATCACTTCTTCTGATAACAATCTTTATTTTATATATTTTAAGTTATAAATAATAAAAGTTTTATAGTTCTCTTGACTCTTGTAATTTATGCAATTTTGACTAATTTTTAGTTGATTTGTATATAAAATTAATTTTAATATATAATTTTTAAAAATTTTTGTTTTTGACATTCTTAAATTAGATAAATTACTGAATTTTTTAATATAATAGTATATGATGATTATACTGTTATGTTATATAACATTATAATGTTTATAACATTAAATATTTTGTCATTTAATATTACAGATCTACAGTTAGGACATATAATAGAGTGTTTAATTATATAAAGATAAATTTACCTTATTTTGAATGCTTGATCTTGTTAGTATTAATAATTGTTCAATATTTATATTGAATATGATTACAATTTTATTTGATTAATTACATTTAAGGGATATAATAAGTTATATGCATAAGCTTATCAAAAATTATTATTACTCAAAAGGTTTTCATATCGTTTAATGAGTAACTTTTCATTTCGAGTTCAATTCCTGGATATTTTTGAGGTTTTTGGCACCAATTTCAAGTTAAATATAAAAATTAATTCTTGAGATTGATAATTGTACCAGTTATTGGCAATTTTTATGTTTTACATATAATAATCATTTTAAAGTTTGAAAAAATGTATCATACTTTCTTTAAAAACTATAATTAATTAAACAATTTAATAAATTATTCATAGTTAATCAATTACACAGTTGCCAAAAGATAATTGCATTTTTTTTACTTCAAGACAAACCAGAAATATTTGAAGCATAAAAAAACGGAAGAATGTCTTTAGAATGTTTTACATTTTTATCATGAGAATTATTTAAAATTAATTATGAATAATAATAATTATAAAATAATTAAGAACTTTAGTTAAGTTATCGTTTCCTAGAGGCATTTAATAAATACGGCTACATATTTAAAAATTATAATATTATTTTAGATAATTCAAAATGCTAAATTTCTATATTACATAATACTATAGTATCTTATTTCAATAGAATTGAAAGGATATTTGGATACGGTCGCTTAGGTTAGAAATTGTGAAAAAAAATTAAAAATAACTCAAATTATTCGTGTATTGAGTTTACACAATCTATATAATCCTGTGTTTTACATCCAAGTCAATAACACCATTATTTTACACAACTGATCTTAAATACTTAAAACTTTTCATGTCCTTTATCACATCCTCACTTATTGCCGCTAATCTCCTCATTTCACTTACCTCTTATTCTTTTATCTAATTATTCAATTATTATCCAACTTTATTCTTCCCACTAAAAACTATATCCTCTATGTGCTCTTTCATATCCTCTGTTCTCATTACCTTATCCATCTCTATCCAAAACATTACCTTGTCAATTTCATAACATCCTACTTGTGGTGCATAGGCGTTTACTACATAGAGCACTTATATCATTTTTTTTTTTTTTATAAATATATTTATATTTGTATTCCATATTTATAATTATTCTATGTTCAATAAACTATTTTTTTTTAATATTCTCAAAGTATTTGAATAATCTTTAAGTATCCTAAAATATATTTTTATTAATATTCAAGCATTTATTCTAAGTACAATTTCAAAAAATTTTCAATTATTTATTGTGAATACCAAAAAAAGTATTTTTACAACAACATGTATCTAAATAATTTATTTTTTATCCCTTCATGGTCAAAAATCCTAAACTTTTATTTTATTCAATGGAACCCTCTATTTTTAGTTTAAATATAATAGAAAAAATAATATTTCAAACAATTTTGTTCTTATAATATTTTAGTTTCGATGCAAAGCTAAGAGATATTTTTTTACTATGATGCGTTTATTTTTTAATTTTTTTTAATAATACTTAACAAAAAAAGTATTTTTACAACACCGTGTACTTGAATTACAAATCAGAATCTTATTTTATATATTATAAATATAAATTAAAGAATAATATATGAGTATCATTGTCTAACAGAGTCCTGACCCCGTGTTTCCCTCTCCCATAAATTCATTATCTATCGAGTATTTTTGAGGTAGAAAGGTGGATAATAAGAAAAAAGCATAATATACATATAATCGACAACAAAAATATCTTTTTAGCTTCGATGCAAAACTAAAAATATTACCATGATGCGTTTCATTTTTTATTATGCCTATAACTACTTTTTCTCAGATCTCATTGGGCCAATTTTTCTCAACGATACGTCAAAAGATCACAAATCGTATCTAGATGAAGACATTTCTTCGAAAATTAAAAAATTCTCCCCCCTCCGTAAATAGTTCCCCAAAAAATTACGATTTTTAAAATTTTTCACTTTTTTTTTCTAAAAATTGCCATAATTTATTGAAAAATAAACGAATTAAAATAATTTTTTTATAACACTTATTTACAGAATTCAATTTTTGAAAATTTTCCGGAAATACTGTATCCTTTAAACATATGTCAAATTGAAGTTTATGTTACGTATTATAAAATAAATACAAAAATTTGTCCCGACGACTTATTTTCTATGTACAAATGGCTGTCATAGTTAAATCATGCTATTTTTGTGTTAAAATTTTCGGTTTCATATTTTCAACTTTAAATTTCTATAATTTTTTGAATAATGTATGGACTGACACAAATTTTTGTTTTTAAATACATTATATATACCACTTTTAACCGACACACTTTCTTTTCAATCGGGTAGTTTCCCCTTATATAGAGGCGTTCAAAACTTGAAACTTGACAATTTTGTTATCATTTTTTTACACATAAACTTATTACCACATAAATAGTTCATTCTAAAATATCACCTTACTTAATGAACAATTTATAATCTTCACATATGTTATGTGATAAGTATGATAATGAATTGAAATAATTAGTTATAAGAATTCTAAATTGTTTGTAAAATTGTAGAGCTTTATATTATAATTTAAAGACCTCATTTAAGTTCAAATTGATGACCATTGTTGTGGGTTGTTAGTATTAAAGTAGAGAGATAGAGCTCGCAATATTAATTTTATGTTATCGTAATAAGATAAGCTATAAATGTTCTCATATCATATAATAGGGACCATAGTTATCAGTAGACAAATACGTAGTTTTTTATTTTATTTAGTTTTTAGTTGATATTATGTCTCTGTTAATTATAGTTCACGAACGTTAAAAAAATTTATCAGGAAATAAATAGTCGTTGTGTTTTAAGAGATTGAAATTAAATATTATCGTATTCGAAGGTCATGATATTTATTTTCGTGTCAAAGTGATAAATAAAATATTACATTTACAAATTCTAGATAAATGTATACATTTGTTTAGCTATGTCGAATTGGACAGCTTTCACTTCTGAAAAATGTAAGGTCTTAGTTAACATTTTTTATATTATTTTATGATTACACTTAAAATTTTTGTTGTAGCACCTAAAATTCCCAATCGTCCTGCACCTCCACCACCAAAAACTGTTAAATCATCGTAAGTAATTTTTTTAAGCATATTTAATGTAAAAAATTATTTTTAATTAAGTTTTATTGGATTTGTTACTTAGAAATCAAACAAAATTAGCCAAAGTTTTGTCTTTAAAACCATCTAAATCTCAATATGGGGTACAGCAGCCTATAAAAAAAAAACCGCCTCCTAGACCTCCACCTCCAAAATTTGCTTTGCCTCAAAAAAGTCAAGTAATAAATTTCTCTACATTTTATTTTATTTTAGTTATAATTCATACATCATTTTTTGATTCATATTTAATTTATATTTTTATTAATTTACTTTATTAATAAAAAAAATAAGGTAATATAGAATATTCCATAAAGTGCACAATTTTTTAATATTATATTAAAAAAACATTTATTGGCATTAGTTTTTTCTTTTTTCCAGTATTTTAGAGTTCTCTAGAATGTGTTAGAAAATTAGAAAATTTCTAATTTTTTACATTAGAAGTTACAACATCATAGTTACAATCAATACTTTACTAAAAGGCATAAATTTTATATACGTAAAAGTAATTTAACTATTCTATTTATAAAATTAGTTAACTTATATTTTATTTAATAAAAAATCAATATTATGATAAAATTAGAAAAATTCATTAGAATATTAATTTAGACTATTAATTTTCTTGATACTAGAATTTTTTTATGCTATATTCTCTTAAAGTGGTTAAATTATTTTAAGTAGTTTCTAATTTTGAATGTTGCTTTTTTTTTTGTAGTTTTTCTCATTGCTTTATCCATGTCATTATAATTAAACTTATTGAAAGTAGAAAATTCATAATCTAAAATCAAACATATACTTAAAGTTATTTATTAAATTTATATCATAATCATGATTGTAGATGAATTAAATCAACCTTATGTTACTATTAATGTTTTGTATAACTTTTCAACAACTGTGTTTAGATACTAACACACACTAATAGCTGTCCAAAATATTTTAACATTTTGAGTGAACTGTACTATAACCAATTGACAGTTCATAAACTGTTTATTAACTTGGTGCTCACGTATGTTTATATACCTCCAGTGTTATAAACAATCCTACTTAAGTTTAGGTTTATTTATTTATGTTTTGCAATTTATATACTAAACAAGTTTATATATGAGAAAGTGATCTAATTAAGATGACATTTCTATTATAACTTTTAAACTAGTGTTTCGGAAGTTTGTAATATTTTTAAACTGTATATAGAAAAAAAGAGTGAACAATTACTTCACAATAAAAATTCTTTAACCTGTACATAAATTTTATTCTATAAAGTTGACATACCTTTTTGTTTAAAAGATAGACCATAAGAATATATAATAATTCATAAATCTAAAAGTTTGTGTAGCCAAAAAAAAAAAAAGTAAAAAAAGAAAATTGAGGGTTAATCTTAAAAAAACACTATATAATTTTAATCCCTAGATTCTTAAACTTCAAGACATTAAATTTCTAAAAGTTATATTACTAAGATTTTATTAAATTATGAAAATTGTGTGTTGAATATATATAATATAATATAATTAATTGAATATTATTATTTATTAGTTTTCAGATCTTATTTAAATTTCTTTAATTTATTTGAGTATTACTAGCTTTCTTCTGTGGTATTTATGATATTTAACTAAAAAAAAAAACTTCTATATATTTGTATAGATTGTTTTTACAATATAAAAAAAAAAATAACTATTTAATATACTATCATTGGTTTAAATAAATGGTTTATTATTAAATCATTTACATTTTTATAAAGTGTACAGCCTTAAAAATAATCATCAAAAACTTTAATATATATATATATAAAAAGTTTCATGTATTTTAGGTTCAATATTTTCATTGTAATTAATTATAATACATTTTCAAATATTTGTGTATTTTTTTAATATTATAAATTCAATTTTAATGTTATTTATAGAGTAAAACAGGTCTATCAACACTAATTGGATTTAAAGCAAAACACAGTGTTCCAACACCGCCACCTTGGGTTGGAAAACAAAATGAAATCAAAATTACATCAGGATCATCTAAATTAGCTTGCTTAATAGACCTAAGTTCACCTCCAACATCTCCTACTTCAACTCATAAGTATGTATTTTTTTAGTTTGAAAAAAATATAGTACTGAAATATTTATTTTTTAGATCTAGTAGTGATGGAAATAGTGTAGATAGCTTTAACAGTGATTTTGGACCATGGAAAGAATCTCAAGCAGAAAGTAGTGGCTTTGAAGATGACTTTGATTTATTATCTTCACATGTAGATACAGATTACTTAAAAAAAACAATTTTAAATGCTCAAAATATTGAACTATCACCTCCACCACCATCATTACCACCACCTATGCTACCACCAGATGCATTAAATGTATTATTAAATGGTCCTCAATTACCTCCACGTCCGAGTAAAGTGAGTTTAATAAACCTGAAATGTCAATAATGTCAATTAAACAAAATTGATCTATTAATAATTGCTCATTAAAATTTTTGTGTCAAAGGTTATATGTCTTTTATATAAAAGAAAACAAATTATTCATCTGCAGAAAAAGTATATCAATTATAAAATAATATCATAAATATTTTTAGTTATTTTATTTGATAATTTTCACAAATCTAAAAACCCTTAAAACCTAGAAAGTTAGGGGTTTTATAATGATCAAGGAAATCTTGGATTTTGATGACTACCTAGAATTCTTAAAATTTGAATATACTTATCATAATTTGACTTCATTTTTTAGTTTTGATGTAATGTTGTAAAGGTATTAATTTTACTATAATGTTTTCTTTTCCATCTATAGTTATCTCAACTATGCCATGTCCACACTATGCTACCGTTTTTTTTGTGTTGATCACTACTTTTTCTCAGCTCTCACTGAACCTATTTCTTTCACTGATACGTCAAAAGATCACAAATTGTATTTAGTCAAAGACATAACCCTCAAAAATTGAAAATATTTTCCTCATTCACTGTAAATGGGGGAAATTCCCAAAAAAATTACGATCTTAAAAATCGGTAACTTCTGATTTTTTTATACATATTAGCTTTGATGCGAAGCTAAGAAGGTATTAATTTTACCATGCTATGTTTATTTATTTTTTTTTTTTTTTGTGTGTCTGTCACTACTTTTTCTCAGCTCTCAATAGGCCAATTTTTCCCAACAATACGTCAAAAAATCACAAATCATATCTAGTTGAAGATATTACCCTCAAAAATTAAATAATTTTTCCTCGTACCTTGTAAATGGTTCTACAAAAAAATACAATTATTAAAATTGGTAAATTTCGACATTTTTTTCTAAACATTTTTACAACTTTTTGAAAAATGAACAAATCAAAGTAATTATTTTTTAAATATTAAATATTTTCCTTTCATTTGATATAAATTTTTTTGAAAATTTGACTATTTACTTCCTTACAGGGGGGATTCAAAATAGCAACTTCTACACAAAAATTTAACTTATGAAAGTGTTCCGAAAACTCTGACACTTTTATATATAAATTAAAGATAATGTAATATACTTTATTATGAAAAAAAAAAATTTCTGGCTTTATTTTGTCTTCACAGTGAAAATAGTTACCAAATGCTATTTTTGTGTGAAAATTCTCGATTTAAAATTTTTAACTTTATTATGCTATAACTTTTTGAAAAATGTATGGATCAATGCAATGTTTTCATAAGAAAGAGTATTTATATACATTTTTTTTTAAATCGGACCATTTCCCTTTATATATTTATAATATATAAATATATTACACTTATAAATCATAAAACTTGTAATCAGGATATAAATAAAGAAATAGGAAGTCATGTAGCTTTTGGAATAATCCACTAATTTTTTAAAATTTATGCAAATTTGTAAATGGCTACAGATTTGCATCAAAGCGTTTTTTATGATAGTGATTTAAATCACAGTTAGTTATCATCTATACTTGTCCCATTTGGGCTACGTTCATACTGTGCCACAACACCACTATGCTACCATTTTTTTTTTTAAAACTGCCATAACTTTTTAAAAAGTAAAGAAATCAACATATATTTTTTTATAGATATCTTAGATATTTACATACTATTTATTATAATTTTTGTAAAAATCTGACGCTTTACCTGACCACAGGGGGGATTACAAATGGCAACTTTTTTAAGAAATTATAAAATAAGTCAGAAAATGTTTAAACAAACACAACATTAATTATAACTTTTATGTGAAATTGGGAAGGTAATATTAAGTTGTAGTCTGCATTTTTTTATGTTTGTTCATAAAAATGTTCAGCTTTCACTAGACTTTTTAATAATTTATACCTCAAAACAAAATCTAATTTAATCTAGTTGAACCTATCGTCGCCAAATTTAGAATAAAAATTTCCAATTTTAATAATATTTCAAAATTACACTAATGTAAAAACGGCATTTTCTAAATAATTTTTCTGCTATACCTTTTTTTTTAAATATGAACTTAATGAAATTTTAATAGAGTATACTTAAGACAATAAATTTCCTATTGGTATACTGTTTATTGAAATTCAACTAAACTGCAACCCCACTGTTTTAGGTTTTTTTAATCAAAATAATTAATTCGTATTTTTACATAAAATTATTAACTCAATAAAACAGTTTTATCTAACTTTACATCTACATTATTTTATTTTTTTATTTACCAATATGTATTTTTTCTAAATTATTTATACAATACTTTTAGTTTAAAAATGAGAAAATTTTTTAAAAACAGAATTTTGCTTTAAAATATCGATAGAATTTGACAAGAAATTTCTTTAGAAAATAATTATTGTTCAAAAAAATTAAAAATTATTATTATAATCTACTTTTAGAAAATTTAATTTTTAACAAACTAAAGTAACAAACTAATTATTATAATAAAAAATAATAATTTATCTACTTATTTTTTAATTTAAATAAATCATCTAACCAAAATTAGTTAGAAAAATTAATTCTTCTGTAGATTTTTTAAACTATATTTATTCTAATCAAATTATTATTGGTTATAATTAAAAACACAATATAAATAATTTGTATATATTTGCCAATTTTAATATTTATAACTGCTTCTAACTTTTTTAGTGTAAGTATTATGAATACACATACTATAGTTATAACTAATGGTTATTTGTTAAGTTAAAAATAATGAATTTTTTTTTTAGGACATGTCTCTCTCAAAATCACAGTGTGTTGCTCAATTTGATTATTTTTCTGAACATCCAGACGATTTAGTTTTTAAGGTAATTTTTATTTTTTATGGTTGATGCGCTGATGAAGTTAACATTGTATCTTAAATACTTATATGTAATTTATTAGTATTTTTTATTATGTATTTTTAATATTTTTTGGTTTTAAATTCATATTTTAGATATAATTTTAATTACTAATAAAATTAGCCACAAGTGCTCAATTCTTATTTTATAATGAATTAATTATTAATTTTTTATACAAGCATTGTATGAAGTATATAGACATTAAAGAAAAAACAAATTATATAGTTTAAGCAAAAGTGGTATAAAACATTTAAGTATTTTATCTGGAGATGTACAGCGTGTTACAGAATAATAATATGTGTTCCCATTTAAAAAAAACAAAGTTGATACCTTTACAAGGCATAAGGGATGAACTTAAAAAGTATTACATAGTTAATAATTCAAGAACAATGTGTAACTAAAGAAAACCAAAAAAAAAATGTTTAAATTATATTTATTCTGTTAGTAATTGAGTGAATTATGATAAAAAAACACTCTGTATATTTGAAATAATTTAATACCATAAAAACTATTGTAAATATAATGCTATTGTTTCATAATATAATTTTATTAATACTGTTTACACTAAAGTTTAAAAATTGAAATATTATTTAATTATTGTGAATACCTTTGTCAACAAATGTCAACCTTATACTCAATATCTTTTGCTATTTACTCTTTTTGAATTTTACTCATTTTAAATACTACATTTTTACTTTATCTCTATTATACTGATTCTATTTATGGCTAACTGTAGACTTACTGGGGCAATAATTAACTTTGTTGTTACGTGGTTTACATTAAACTAATTACTCTAGCTACAAAATCATGCAGTAAAATACCACCTATCCAAATTTTGTTTTATTTTAACCTGTATTAATTTGTACATGTATATTTATAATTTGTGTATAGCGTATGCATAAATAAAAAATGAGTTAATGCTTTATAATACATCAATTAATTTAATAAATATTTACTACAGTAAAATAAAATATGGGTATCCTACTGAATTTTCATTATTTTTATATACAGCAAGGAGATGAAATATCTTTAATTCGAAAAGTTAATGATGAGTGGTTAGAAGGTGAATTGGATGGACGAAGTGGTATGTTTCCAATTAATTATGTGATTGTAAGAACAGCATTACTAGAAGAAATATCAAAAAATCAAAATTTTCATAAAGTTATAGCAGTTTTTTCATTTAAACCTGAATGCTGGGAGGATTTAAATATACAAGTAAATTTTTGTTTTTAAATTATTCTTAATTATAAAAAATTAATTTTGCTGTAGGAAGGTGATGAAATTCAAGTTTTACGAAGAATTAATGATGATTGGTTATATGGTGAATGTAATGGTTCAAAAGGTCAATTTCCATCAAATTTTGTTACCGAACTTCCTGAAGAAATGTGATACAATATATAAATTACCAAAACTAAGTTTAAGATACTATTAAAGTTGTACATTAATGAAATGTGATAATTAATTCTAAAATATAAATAGAGCATGTGTTCAAAAATAGAATTTAATTCAAAAATTGTATAGGATAAATGAACAATATTTTATGTTTAATTTGATATTAAATAACAGGGTATACGGAAATTGAACAAAGTAAAGAAATTTTAAATAAAATATGAACATTTTTTATTTATGTTAATGTATTTTAGTTATTGTTATGTTAATGTAATCATTTTTTAAAGATAAAAGCCATTATAAACATGCATGAAATTTATATATTTATATATGTTAAGCATAATTTTAATAATATTTAAGTCGCAACATACATATTTTTAAATGTTCTGTATACTATTTTTATGAAGTAATAAAATATTTTTAATTTATTTAAATAAAAATAATATTTTTTTTTGTGAATAATTTTATTTAAAAATGTTATGTTTTGAAAAATAAATTCAATAAGTTAGTCAAAGTCAAATAAAAACCTAATTTTGTGAATAAAATTTAAGTGGATTGTTAAATTTCCCAACCTTTAGGAATTAAATTTAACTTTATTCTGTATATTTTTGTTCAAATTAAAATTTATAAATTTTGTTTGTATGGATAAAGCTGGTTAAGCTACTTGTTATTTGATTAAGGGATTTTTTTTTTCAATTTTTTAGGGTAATGTATTCACTAGATATGGTTTGTGATCTTTTGACATATTGTTCATCAAAATCTGTCCAGCAAGAGCTGAGAAAAAGTAGTCACAGACATAATAAAAAAAAACCAGCACATGAAGTATGTTACGAACCCTTAATCTTTATTGTAAAAATGTAACATTAAAACGTTAAACAAATAGAAATGAATAACATTTAATGTTAAAAACGTTTAACATAAAAATTGGTTAGTTTAAATGTTAAATAACGATAAACTCAATTATAAGACGTTATAATATATTAATTCAATAACTTGACATAATTTCGAAGTTAATAAATAAAAAATGTATTATTTACTGGCTAGCTGCAGGGTATTATCCATGTATCTAATCTATTGAAAGCTGATAAAATTTAATATAGATCTAAATACAAGAACGGATAGACCTAATGGAAAATTGGAATATTCCTGGAAGCCTTTGATCGTGCCATTATTTATTTTATAACTGAAGCCTTTTACTCAAATTTATAAAAAAAATATTCCAAATGATAGGTAAAAAAAAAATTTATTGATCCATACATTTTCCAAAAAGTTAAAGCATTAAGTTAAAAATATAAAAAAGAATTATTTTACAAAAATCGTATTTTTTTTATTAACTTTGATGTCTATTTTCACCACGAAGACAAGTCTAGAGGTCAAATTTTTTTTTTCAAATTGAAGTATATTACATTAGCTTTAATTTAAGGTAAATATAAAAGTGTCAGTCTTTCCGGAACATTTTCAAAAGTTAATTTTTGGTAAAAAAGTTACCATTTTGAAACCTTTCCTGTGGGCTGCTAAAGAGTCAAATGTTCACAAAAATATATAAAATGATAGGTAAATACCTAAGGTATCTATAAAAAAAAAAATAATCATTCGGTTATTTTTAAAAAAATTATGACAATTTTAATTTAAAAAAATTGAAAAAATGTCGAAAATTAGCAATTTTTAAATTTGTAATTTTTTGGGGGATTTCCAAAGTCATAACTAAAATATTTGATTACTCTAAATTATTTGTCTTACTAATGAGTAGAACTCAAAGTATATTCTTCAATACTGAGTTTAATATAATCTTAAAAGAAAAATACAAAAGGAAATGATGCTATTACACATAACATTTATTACAAATACTATTTACAAAAAGATTACAAACTATAACTTTACAAATTATGTATCATTATTATAGAAAAATCATCTATAAATCATTATTTATAAATTTTTAAATTAACATATGGGCCCATATGTTTATTAATAGAAGCATTCATGCATTCATATCGAGTAACTAAAAAGATTTAACAGAAAACATGATTTGATTTTGGAATTTAGGATAATTTTTGTTCATGATAACATACATCGAATAAAAGTAGTAAGATGTGATGCTTGTAATGTAGCCGATTGATTATGATTTTTTAATTATGGCTTTTAAACACTTACTATAACATTAAACTTTACCTAAAAGGTTTTTTTTTTTGATCTATCTGACTTAAGTTAAAACTTAATATTAATGTAAAAAAAGAAGTGAAGTAACACAAAAATACAAACAAGTCAATGAGTAGAACAAGAAGGTAAGACAATTAAGAGTTTTCATTTTTAAGTACCCGACCGGGTATCACATTAATATCACATAGTAATAAAATATTAACTTTAGATTCAATTATTATAAAAGTGAAATACATGAATAAATATTATATGGATATATATATAAATATAGACACAATTATTTAGAAATACAATATTCATTGAAATTAACACTAATAAAATTGGAATACAAAGTCAGTTTTTGTTTAATTTTTTATATACTATATGATTACATGTATATACATACACACACATATATGTATTTTTTTGAGCAAAATTTTTGAACTTTTTACCGTTTTCCGAAAAAATATTAATTGTCTGGTAAAATGAAAAAAAAAATAGTGAATTGCATTTTTACACCTATTGATGCAATAGCAAATGTTCATCAAGTTCATCTAGTCTGGTTTGTAAATTGGTATTTTTGGAATAAATTCAACCAAAAGTACCTAAAAAAATAATTATATTATTTATTAATTTATAATTGAATACTATAAGCTTTAATATGCATGGAAAAATAATTAGTTGAAAGTATTGATAAATATTAAAATTTATAATTAAAGAAAGTTTATTTTAGTAATTTTTTGAATATAAAGTTGAAAAAAAAAGCTTTAACAATTATCATTGAATTGCATCTATTATGGCCGTCAATGTAGGACATTGGGCATTATAAACAATGTTCACCTAAAGTGAGCAATATAGAAAATTTTTTTAATATATTCCAAAGAAATCAGGCATTGTATTACAATTACCAAATATTATACACCTCTGGTTTCTCTAGGTATCACTTTCCTTTAGTTGAGAGTCGATCTCTAAAGTCTCGTTGGTTGAAAAACTTATATATGGGTGTTCAAAATTCAAGTCATTGATGGGGATATGAATACTTCTATGGAGACTGAGGCTGCCATAGCCCCAAGTAAACTGTGCTAATGATCTTTCTACAATTTCCTTGTTACTATGCTCAGCACATCATTATTCACAATAATTTCCTGTTTAGCTCAATAATAGGAGTTTGTCAATTTTAACAATGCTTCCCTATTTGTATAATTATATACATGGCTAAAAAAACTTGGGTGTTGTATACAATGACCAGTATTGTGAACAGTGTTCAATTTCCCACTTTGACCATAACACATCTAAGAACCATAATGTTTTATATTTCATAACTTTTATTACAACTTACATATTCAGTAATTGAAGAAGTGTCAACTCTTTGTTTATTTAATCTCCAATGCAAACCAATTTTATGATAAAGGTGATTATTTTCCCAATCAAGTAGTTTATTTAAATTATGCTGAGTCTAGAAGTGAAATATTTAATAATTTTAGTGTTATACCCACAATTTTAATATAATATATTCAAAGGAAGATCAATTAATTTTAAGACATACATTTTCTCAGAAACTATTGAATATTTTAAATTTACCAATAGAAAAATATTGTTTGATTCAAAAAAATATGAAAATAAATCATTTATTCATTTTTTTAAGGATAAATAACCTAAACTTTAATTAGCATAATAATTTCTTGTTAAGAACAAGGAAAATATTTTCAATTTTTGAAGGTAATTTTTTCAACTAGATATGATTTGTGATATTTTAATGTATCATTGAGAAAAATCGGTCCAGTGAAAGCTGAGAAAAAGTAGTGACACACACAAAAAAAAAATAATAATAAAATAAAATAAACACATCATGGTAAAATTAATAATTTCTCAGCTTTACATTAAAGATAAAGTATTATAAGGACAAAATTGTTTAAAATTTTATTTTTTCTATTATATCTTTAAACTAAAAATAGAGGTTTCCATTGAATAAAATAAGTTTAGGATTTTTGACCATGAAGGGTTGAAAAATAAATTATTTAGATTTATATTATTAGCGGTAGGAACTAAAATATTTTCAGTTTTTGGAACATTTTTATCATAATTTGTAATTTAGTTGACCTATAACAGATGTTTTCAACAATTTGTAAAATTAATAATTGTAAGAAACTCAAATAATCAAATCAATATTAAAACCTTAACCAAACTTAGAACTTGACCTTATAAAGCTTAAGTTCAATTAAGGTTTTAAAAGTAATTTCTTAATATTTTTGTTTTTTGTAATTGTATTTTTAACATGTGCTAAAAAGAATTTGATATAGATGAACTAATTTACAAGATATATGAAAAATCTCTAAAAAGATTTAAATTATTTTAGATTTCTACCATTTAAATTATTGTAAAGTTTTTTGAATCTAACAATTTAATTCTTTATAAAAATTTTTAATATTCAATAGTTTCCAAGAAAATGAGTGTCTTATCCTTTATCAATCATATTGAATCCAACAAGAACTATACTACCATTTAAATATAAAATATTTAAACTACATTTGTCAACATATTGAACACATAAAATACATTATTTTAAGTATTTTCAATACTTTATAAATAATAAGAAATAATGTACTGTAACTTACCCTTTTGCTAAGACATATTACAGGCCAAAGTGAACAACCTAATGTACAACAACAACACATGCAACCACAAAACAGCCATTTAGCATTCATAGGTAAACTTTTTTTTAAAACAGAATTAATACGGCCCATAGTTTCTTCAAATTCTTCAGGAGCAACACGAGATACTAAGGCACTAGGAAAATCTGACTGAAACCTGCTACTAAGTCCAAAACTGTGAAATCAGAAAAGTAAATATTTTAACAATTTTATAGATATGATTAACACATAACAGATTAACAAAGGATTCAATATTTAAAGTATAAACATGTTCATTGTATTTATTAAAAAAATAAACAAACACTACTTTCAAAAAGCTTTCTCTTTCATAACTAACATTTATCGAGTATGTTAAATGATTACTGTTAAAAATAAATAACTGTATTAAAAAATACAGAATAATTTTTGCTATTCTACAATTTTAAGTGTAAACTTAAGTTAAATATCAAGAACTACATATTAGTATACTATTAAGAATATAAAATTAATATTATGAGGTTCAATTCAATTTTTTTATTTATAACATAGAATTTAACAAGTAATTTAAATTAGTTATCAAAATTAAATAAATTTTATCGCAAAACAATAAATAAAAGCGTGATTAAACAAATTAAAAAATTACAGTTTTATACTTACACAGTGAGATTCCCAATACCTCTTATAAGTATTGGATCCTGAACGTGGGTCAAATATGCTTCATCCATGGATGTACAAGCAATTTCTTCGTCATATTGTTGTATATCGTCAAATACGGCCATGACATTTGTAAATACACAGTCTAAATAAACTATAAATTTGGTAAAAAGCAAATGTAATTAAAAAAAAAACCAAATAACATGACCAAGAGACTAGATATAAAACCACAAATATTACAAAAAATTTTCATACATGGTATGATTACAAATTTCAACAAAGAACTTTACCCATAATTTTCTTTATTCGGAAAACATCATAACATGTCCTAGATATAGAACTTCAGTGGTATCAACATAAAAAAATATACAACAAATAATGATAATAATAAAATATAAAAATAAATTATTACTTTATTAAGTTTAAATTATGACAGAAATACGAAAAAACCATCAAGAGCCTACCATATATAACTATAAATTGTATTTGTACTGAATTCTTAAAAATATTTATCTGTTACTTCTATTTTCTATACTGTCTAATAATATATTTTTATCATTATACTAATGTATAAAAATGCTTAAGTTGGTAATTTGTTTGTTTTTATCTGACCCATCAACTTTTATCAATATTATGACAATTATAAAAGAATTTCATGTGTAAATATCTAAACGAAAAATTTTAAATTTATTAACTTATTGTAGTTCTTGAAAAATATCATAAGCTTTCAACAATATTTAAAATTATAACAATTACATTTTAGTGCATAGGCAATGTAGTTTACTGAAATTAATATTGAATATAAGTTATAATGGATAAGGATACAGTTAGATCCTCAGAGGACAGCATACCTTTAGCAGATGACGATCCTCAAAGTAAATTTTCATTAAATTAAAATAATAATATTTAGATTTTTAAAGTGAATTATGTGTTATTTAGTTATTATTCCGGATGACCAGGATTTTTCTCAAATTTCAAATAATATTATACGCAACCAAAGTATGGACTCATTGCAATCTTCATTTACTAATGGTAGTTGTAGTCCCAGTAGAAACAGTAAGTAAAATTTAATTTTAAAATAATAATCCTTCATAGATGTAGCAAATTTTGCCACATAGTAGATATTATTTCTTAAATAGGCGAACATTTTTGAAAGGATTTTGAAAATTGGCCCTTTTTATAGTTTTTCTTTAATTTTAATTAATTAATTTATCTTACTCATTCAACAATAACTTCATTAGATTGTCTCACTAATATTCTTTGTAATTTTATTAGTTCAATAAACAGAAATAAATAATAATAAGTATGGCTTTAGCAATAGTACAAATAATTGTGATAGGCAGATTATAAAAAAAAAAAATAACATTGTTTAATTGTATATGACTTTAAATAATTTATGTATAGTTAAAGAACTTTTGATTAAGCTATTATAAAGTACTAGAGATTAATTAAAAAAAATTTTTTATAAGTTTTCTGTTTTTTGGTTTCTTTTTATATTCAGACTAAAATATATTATTACTAATAATGATTTATTTAACAAAGATGATTAACAAATTTGCAAGCCTTATATTTCTTGTTGATTTAACTATTGTATGGCCTTGTAATTGTGTTTAATATTCTCATTTTTTGATATATTTAATTTGCTATATTTTTTTAGTTTTAAAGTTTTATGGAAAGACATTTAATCTTCTTATACACAAATTTATTAAATTTAATCCTCTTTTTAAAAGTATTTCTTATTTTACTTGTCAGGTTTAGATCCAGATATGAGCCCTGATGAATTAGAAGAAAAGGCACGACTTATAACACAAGTATTAGAGTTGCAAAACACATTAGATGGTAGTATAAAATTCATATTTATAAATTATATAATAGCATTAATTGTTTTTAAATAATTTAAACTATATCTGTATAAATAAATATATTGTGTAATTATTTTAAACATTTGTTGATAGATTTATCTCAGCGTGTAGATAGCGTTAAAGAAGAAAACTTAAAGCTACGATCAGAAAATCAGGTACTTGGACAGTATATAGAAAATTTAATGTCAGCATCAAGTGTATTTCAGACAACTTCTCCTAGAGTAAAAAAAAAATAAAAGTGCAATTTTAATATCAACACCGATTTGTTTTTTCTTTATTTGTTGCCATAAACATTCCAAAACACTAATGCTTTCACAATTTTTTAATATTCTATACTGAGATATATGTATATTTTTTAACACTATTAATGTGTTTAAAAAATGTTATTTTATTTGAGATATTTATAGTTTAAAATAAATTCTAGCTTATATTGTGCATTATATTTTATATTAATTTATCTTTTACAGTTTTCCTTTATTGGTTTACTCAATATATATAACTTTAAAGTTTATTTATCATTGATTTTGTTTTTCACTAATTTGATTATGTTATTATTTCGTAATAAATTTTGAGTACTTCATATAATATTGGTTTGTTTTAAATATTAAAGTATATAAATATTATTTTTAAGTATAAACTTATAAGTTATTAAATATAAAAAAAAATTGACTATAGTTAAGATCAAATTTTACCAATTGAACTGCTTAATATTATATAGACCCTACTTATTTAATGTAATTATTACAAAATAGTGACATGTCAGTATTTAAGGAAAACATGATTATATTTAATATTTCATTATTTATCAGGGTTCAAACAGATCTACTTATGTCTACTAATTAACTTTTGTTGTAAATAAAATAGTACCTATTATATCAACAATTACATAAAACCTAAATGAAAAACATCATTTTCTATTAAAAAAAAAACTTAAACCATTATAAATAAAAAATGTTGATTATACGGTTAGTAATTATTAACAAATTAAATGGGACTTAAAAATTGTTTATTTTTTATAGTACACATTTTTAAATTATTAAAATTTATTTGATCATTTTTATAAATGGCATTATAAGTAAAAAAGTTATTTCTGAAGATATTTAAAAATTAAATATGTATAATTTGATTTAGCTTAATTTAAAAAATGAACTTTATGAATTATGTATTAAAATACAATAATAATATAAGTCTTAAGATTAAATTTTAATTATATTTAAATTTTAAAATTAATATGAAAACGTCACAATACAATGTGATTTATTAAGTATACTAAACGATTTATTCGTTTAACTAAAAAAGTAATAATACAAAACTTTATGATAAACCAATCAAAATTCTATTTATATCTCTTTAAAAACATTAAAATAAATTTTTTTTAACTTTCGAAAGTTATCTCTATAATCTACCCTTGGAAATGATTTTTTCTTTAAAATAAATTTAAAATAAAATTTTTTATTTCATAAAAATAAATTGAATTTTAATCATATTTTTATTAAAAAATCATTATTTGATGAAAACAATTGGATGTAATGTTCTTAATAAATCATACTGTATAGGAAAACTTTTTTAAATTCATAAAAGTATTTATGTTTTTTTAATAAGTGTTCCTATAATTTTCTAATAATCAATAAAAGAATAATTACAGAAGATTGCATTTTGTGATGAATATCTGATTTTTTCATACCATAAGGGGTAAGAAATTTGTAGAATTTTGCCCTCTTCTTGTTTGGGAGCCCAATTTAATTTTTCCATTTTTTTTTATGGCTACAAACCAATTTTTATGTTGATGCTTAAAAGATAAAAATGTACTATATGGTCCTTGAGGTTGTTCAATAAAAATTGTTGATTTTTTTTTTGGATTGGACTAAAATATTGCGAATAAAGTAATTCATTATTATTACTATGTGTGTTAATATGTGTGGTTTTAATTACCTCTCCATATAATATACTTTGTTTATTCATTGCTAAGTATAAATTACTCTCAACTCCCCTAATGCGTACATGTCCTGGTAACATTGATGTAAATTCTATTACGCAAAACTTATTCAAATCGTCATCAGAGCTGGTAACTGTTCCATCTGGCAATATAGCAAGACAATAACCACTCCTGCAATTTAATTTCATTCTTCGTCCATAATGTCTCATAGGGCTATTGGTCACTGATGTAGTATTATGAGTATCTTTAACAAATTGGACAGACAATTCTCCACTACATAAAAAAATTAACTGTAACTTGAAATATAGCCAAATTTATATTTATTTACAATTTAAAACAAACCATTGCAGTGTTTTTTCAATATTTTCATTTTCTTTTTTTTTTGTCGTCTGATGTGTTTTTTGTTGATCCATCACAGTAAATATAATATTTTTAACATAATTAAGTATACATTTTAAAATTGTGGTGGTTTTCAAGAACAATTTATTAAGAAACTTATTGTAAATTACTTAATATAAAGATATACTGTTATTATATCGTGTAAACAATTAATATTTAGTTTACGAATGAATGGAAAAAGAGGCACATGTGCGGAGTGGGCTAACGTGGGCAGAACGCCAAACAATTTCTAATATTAGTAAACACCCATACATTCTTCATAATTTAGTGTTTTACAAATGAAACAGCTGTGATGGTGTCACGTTACCATTATTGTGAGAATTTATTATAATAAAATACAGACAGCACATCCACTTCCTGAGACTGATGAATTAACAATTAACATTTATTGCTAAATTGGCAATAGTCCAAATTATTATAAAAACCCAAAAGACCTAGCCATCTTGGTCAGTCGACTCCAGTGCCTTGTGTCGTTCATCAGTCTCAGTACTCGGTTGTCGTTGTCCGACTTACTGCTTAAAGTAAAGTCTTTGTTTTTCCTTTTAAACCTATCTACTCTCTTCCTCGACATTTCAGAGTACTTGCACTTCGTCCGCACCTCATACTTAGGTGTTACCCTTATTCCCTTCCTATAACAACAGCTTTTCGACACCCACAGCTAACCCGAAGTGTCAGCCAAGCACGGTGACTGCTGTACGACAACACGCACGTGAATAGACAGCAGACTCATCCTCATCCTCATTTTCTTCGTACGTTTTTACTTTCTGTTTTGTGTTACGACAGAGTAGCGCCCAACAAAGGTAACGTTTATATATTACGTTAGGGTTGTTGTTATAGTAGAAAAAAAAGTATTATTAAACCAACTTATCCAACACTTGGTGGCCAAAGAAGAAAACATAAAATCACTCATCGAGCTTAATCCAATACCGTCAGAAGAAAACGAACGTTTATCTTACAAGACAGGTTGGGTACATAAGTTGAATACAGACGAAGCCATATCTGAACTGAACAAAAGAAAACTAACCACTACCGGTACTCTAGAGCAAAAGAGAGATCGCTTGGTTAGGTATATAAAAGATCATTGGTTACCGAAAGATTTCTTTGTAGATCTTAACGAGTCTTTTACTGTATTACACACCAAAAACATGGGTAGTGATAACAACAAGAACCGTAGGAAGCCATTCTTTAAGCCAGGTCAGTTTAGGGGAGAAATTCACGAAAACGTAGGCCTGTTTCTTAAGCGATACAAGAGGGCCAGCATCATAAATGAATGGACCGATGAAGAAAAAGTTCAATTCTTACCATCCTTTTTGGAAGGTACGGCTTTACACTTCTTTGAAAATTTAGAAGACAACACCGTCATCCAAATCAAGTAGGAAGATTTGGAGTATAAGATAAGGTTGGAATTTGAACCAACAGCAGCTCAAACGGACATGTTAAGAATGATTTTACAAAAACGCCATGAATAACCGGACGAATCCGTAAGCGCTTATTTAAATGAAGCTGAAGCTTTATGCTTATGAATAAACAAGGACATGTCACAAAAAGAAAAAGTACATCTTATCATGAAGGGATTACGCCCCGACATTTTAAGAATGGTATCTATGTTGGACAATGATACCATGGACACTCTAAAAGAAATATAAGAAAATGGAAGACTACAGAATTTCTCATAGAAGGCGATAAAAGCAAATCTACTTCAGAAATTAGAACATACATTCTCAAGGAGCAAATCCAGCATACGTCAAATGAAAACCAAGAAGGTGAACTAGAACAATTAAAAAGGCAGTCAAAGAGCCTTTAGATTTTCATAAATCACGGAATAAAACAGTAAAAAAAATTAATGGCATTACGTCCGGCAAAAACAGAAAATGTGATATTTGCCAGAGAACAAACCACATTACTGAAAATTGTTTCCGTAACAAGAGGTTAATAGTTCAATGCCGAATTTGTGAAAAATACGGGCACGAAGCAAGTGTCTACTGATCCAGAAAAAAGGAAGCAGACGACACAAAGTGTCAGCAATGCCAAAGTCAAAATCACACAGCAAAAAATTGCAACTAAAAAAACTAGCTTATAGGCTAAACGTTCATGCTAAGGATACACGTTCACCTTCAATCTTAGCAAACTCAAAAAAAATAAAATCACGTCAGTCAAAAAATGTTATGAATGAAATTAACAAAAGCAAAAAAATTGAGTGCGTACAATCGAGAAATCAATATTCAAGATTTGCCCCGGTATCTATATATAGATACCGGGGCAAATCTAAATATATTAAACGCGGAATTAGCTAAAGAATACAATACAAAAAAAGTTTAAAATATACTAATAACCGGAGCAGATAACAAGCCCTTAGATTTGTTAACACGGCCTCCCGGGATTAACGGCCGGTTATAGAAAGTGTACCGGAAATCATGTGAAAAAAAGAGGCACGGTACGGAATTAGAACCCGCGACCCAAGGCGTCGTATAGTCAAACCTTACACCCAAAGAAAAACCTCAATCAAAATTGATAGAGAAATTTTATCAAGGGTTTATGATAATGTTTTATTAATACGAACAAAATAACTATTCTTATAAATAATTATTGTTCAAGACAAGAAAAAAAAATATCATATTGATAAATATATCATAGGTTCAATAGTAATGATATATTTATCAAATTGAATAATGAATTTATTATATAGATCGAGTTTTTTCTCTGGGTGTACCACTAGGCCACCGTGCACTTCTGATTCAGATCCCGATACACTTTCATTTAGGTTGATAACGTGATGTGCGGTTGAGTAAAACACTCAAATCGTCATTGAGAACGAGCAGTTCGATGTAGCCGTCTATGTTGTAAAGAACTTAATAAGTTCGCTTATATTGGGTAACAGATTTCTATTCAATAATAATGCTCATATTTATTTTAATTCAAAATTAATGATCATTAAAAATATCATAATCACGAAAACATACAACGCCGACCAAGCAACAGTAATAACGTTATTTCTACTCTCAAAACACAAATAGCCTCACAGAAAAAATATTTTAAAAAACGATTTAGACAATTATTTGGTAACTTACGTTTCATAACTATGATAGTTTTGACTTTTTAGTTATAAAGTGTGTATTTTCTAAGATCTCAAATTATTATGACAGAACAATTGAGATGGTATTATAAAGAAGGGGTAATAAGTCACAAAAAGATATTGATCAACAGTAATTGATTTAATAATGAAAAAAATACTTTTGTATTTTTTATAATCATGTACGAAATCCAATAAATATGAGTTGCTTTACAATTGCAATAATCCTATTTAAAAGATCATATCATGCTCTTTTTTTTTTGAGGGGGGGTATATTTTAATAGCCTGCTCGAGATTGCCAATGCAAACTGTATCTTACCTTAGACACTGTGACCAATAGCCAACATTTCGACAGACGAGTATCAATTCTCGATCGCACATCTCATAATGAGTACGCTATCAAAACATGTTCTTTTAAGTTAGGTTATATTAAAACTAACCTACTTTGTAAAATAATTCAATATATCGATTTGACATTTGAAAAATAGACTAAAATAATACTTCTTTATATTTCTAGTCATACCAGTTTTTAAAACACAAACATTTCTCATAAACATATCAATTTATTAAAAACAAATATAGTAATAAACAATTTTTAATGAAATAAAAAACAAAATTTATAACAATGAAATTAATTAGGTTGTACATAATAAATGTGTACAGTTCATGCTTTTTTCTTTGTATATATACAAAAATATAAAATAAGGATAATTTAATAATTTTAATAGGGATGATGAAAGGAACGTTTTAAAAGTTTAATCAATTTAATTACATGAAATAAGGGAGGTAAAAGGGTAACTCAATTAAAAATGTCCTTGGACACTGTTTGATGGGTTATAAAATAATATAGAACTATTAAAATTTTATTCATGTTCTGAATCATCAGAAACGGAATGAGAACTAAAATCAGAGCTAGAAGAAAAATCATCATCATCCGAAAAGTTTATTTTTGAAATCTTTAATATTATTTTGTCTTTTAATTCATCTGATTGCGCCACGTAAATCTCTACACTACTCGAATATTCAAGTTTCTTTGACGATTTACATGTGTCCAGAGCTTTTGTAGGCCGTGCTGTGTTAGAGGAATGTCCTGTTGAATTTTAAGAAATAAAATATTATTATTATAAATTTTTTCATTAAAGTGTATAAATTAATTTTGTACCGTTGCCATGATGGCAGTCAGTTTCTGAATCATTTGTAATTTTTGATTCGTCGTCTGAATCAGATGTTGAAGACGTGGCCCTAATCTTCAACACCACTCTATTTTGTGGCCCATATTTACTAGAATGAAACTCTACACAACTAGAGTATCTACACTTCTTTGATGGTTCATATCCGTCAAAAGTGTTTGCCCTCTTTAATGAATGTGAACTATTATACAGTTCTGACGACTTATCTGAAGTAGATGGATGTTTATCCATATTTTCATAACCTGGTAAAATATTAGAGAAAAATCAACAAATTAAGCATGACTATTATTGTAAAAATAACAAATATATCCGATGATTAAAAAAATGTTATTTCATACTTTTTTGACGTTCAACTACATAGGTCTCATCGTCATGTTCGATTTTTCTTTTCGTAGATGATTCGTCAATGTGTGTCGAAAACTGTTCCGCGAGTATTTCATATGGATCCCTCCAATAAGATGAACGTGATTGATTAATAATTTTTATTTCTTTGACAAACGGTTCAGAGTCTTCCTCAGTTACTGGAGCTGCATTAGACCGAGTAGATTTGCGATGCGAACGCTTCGACTTGTCTTTTGCTGTAATTTTACTAATAGATTCAATATTAGGATTGTCAATCAAACTTTTGTTTTTATTGACAGGAGTCTGTTTCTTAAATGGAATTTTAGGTTTTCCGTGTAATCGTTTGAGTTTGGCAAACAACTTTTGCGCCTTCGAGCTCATCGTTACAAATAATTTAAATAATTAAAACTGAAAACTGTCAACGACGCAGGCTTTGAGAAAAATTCAAAAAATTTAAGATAATCTTGAAAGTCGAAAAATTCTCAAAGTTAACCTGAGAGTAAAAATTTTTGCTAATTTACAAATAAAAAATGGTATCCATAGAAACTATTAACAGAGATCGTACATTTAGGCCAGTCAACGAAGGAGTAATTTTGGCGAATGGGGGAAAAAATTCCCAACCAAATTTTTATTTTTTTAAAAGTTGTATTAAGATATGTATAATGACATACTAAAAGTCCTCATCGACTGGACTTGAGCTTTTTTTTTACAGCCTCGCAAAAGTTCAAAAATATGAGCTTTTTTAATTTTCTCAAAAAATATTTAACTTACAAAAAAAAGTTTCGTGCAAAAGTTGTTTAAAAGACAATTTTAAACAAAAAAGGTATCTTATATTTTTTAAATTTTTTCTTTGAAAATCCATTATGATTTGTTAGCACACCATGATTCAAAAACCTGCTTACACCTATGCTATTTCATCAAGGAAAATCAAAATTAAAAACTATTTTTATTGAACATGTGTCTTTTTCTCACTGAGCATCTTGTATGATAAAATTTGTATTTTATACTTCTTTACCGATAAAATATTTATTACATACTAACATCATACAATTAAATAAATTTCAACACACTCAAAAAAATATGTTTAACCAGAAAATAATCTACTTAAAAAATTGTTATTTTTTAATAGCCATAAAACTTAGCCTTAGAGATACACTTTATTAAAATAGAAATTAACAATACTATAAGACATATTCAAATTCAAATGGTTTCAGAATAATTTTGTATTTTATTTTTTTAGCTTCGATGCGAAGCTGAGAAGGTATTGGTTATACTATGATGTGTTTTTTAGCTTCGATGCGAAGCTGAGAAAGTATTGGTTTTACTATGATGTGTTTTTTTTTTTTTTTTTTGTGTCTGTTACCACTTTTTCTCAGCTCTCACCGAACGGATTTCTTTCAACGATACGTCAAAAGATCACAAATCGTATCTAGTCGAAGACATTACCCTTCAAAATTGAAAAAATTTCCCTCGTTCCCCGTAAATGGGGGAAACCTCCAAAAAAATTACAAATTTAAAAATCGCTAATTTTCGAAATTTTTTCAATTTATTTTTACTTAAAACTGCCATAACTTTTTCAGAAATGAACAAATCAATATAATTTTTTCTTATAGATGCATGATGTCTTTACCTTTCATTTAGTATATTTTTTTTATAAATCTGACCTTTTTTCTGCCCACAGGGGGGCATTTAAAATGACAACTTTTTCACAAAAAATTAACTTTTTCAACTTAACTTTTGAAAATGTTCCGGAAGGTCTGACACTTTTATATATATCTTAAATTAAAGCTAATGTAATGTACTTTAATTTGAAAAAAAAAAATTTGACCTCTGGACTTGTCTTCATGGTGAAAACGGCTACCGAATGCTATTTTTGTGTGAAAATTTTCGATTTTATTATTTATATTATATTTAACTTTATAATGCTATAACTTATTGAAAAGTTTATGGATCCACACAATTTTTTTATGAGAAATAATATTTTTTAATAAACCTTTTTTCATTCGACATACTTTATCTTAATCGAGATATTAATAAGGAACCAGCAGATCAAGTAGCTTTTGGAATAAAACATCAATTTTTTTAAATTAAACACTATCTAAAGATTTGCATCGAAGCATTTTATTTTGATAGTGATTTTAATCACTATCAGATATCATTATACTTGATCAAACTATGCCACGTCACCACTGTGCCGCGACCACCCTGTGCTGGGTTTTTTTAATTTACTAATAATAATTCGTCAAACTAAATACAAAACATTACTTAACAGCTAGTTTTAAAGATTGAACACTTTAACGCTATTCGTCTTATTTCAAACGTAATGCGTTCTATAAGATATAAAGGGTAATGCTTTTTACTGATTAAATCAAATACTAGCTAAATTTATTGCATGCATGCATGCATTTTTTTTTTTTTTTTTTTTCTAGGTACATGTATATAATTATACTTAATTCCCTAAAATAAATACACGATATTACTTATTAATAAATTGCTGTAATGAATCCTATTAATGATCTAAGTTTTATGCAATTCAATTTATTACAAGTTATATCAGTTTTTTCAATATAATTTACGACTTACTAAATTTTAAATACGCTACTTAAACAAATTTACCCAAAAATTATCTATAGTAATACAACAATGTTATTATAAATCCTAAGCTATATAAAAAAAAAAAAAATTTATATTAAATACAATAAAATTAATAACTTAATAACATTCTTCTGGAAAACATTCACTCAATTTTACACTCCGTTCATAAGCTAACCTGTCATAAAATACATTTTAAATAACATCGTCTTCACAAAAAAATGTTGGTTCAAAAAGTATTTCTTTACTTAATAATATATTCACGCGTTACTTTAAAACATTTTAATAATTATATAATTGATGGCATTCATACCGTTAAACATTTAATACCATTAATCATTGTTTTTCTATTTTATCGGAACGGTTATTTGTATGTTGAATAAACACAAAACATTTTGATTATAGATGAAGTTTCTTACTCTCTATTTATAAAATATGCGTATTCTAAACATAGTATATTATTAGAGTATATTAATTATACAAACTCAAATGTAAATTTTGAAAAACCACTTAATCAAAATATCAAACATTCACCACAAAAAAAGTATTTTTTATTTGTTCATAATTTAATTCATTGATGATATATGAAAACTTTGACACGGGAACAAGAAGATAAATGCAAATTAAGCAGCGTTTTAATGATGGCGTCTGACAAGATACCTCAATTGTGTTACATATAAATTACAAACTTCCAGTATGAATTAAAAACAAAAACCCCACGGGTGTACAGTCTAATGATTTATTTATCGAAAAAACGCCCATTTAGCTCATTGTTACAGAGTAAATTAAACATACCGACTAATTCAGTACAACCAATTAGCACCGATATTATTTATTTTGGTGCTTATAATAACAATACATAATGTTAATTTTTAAAAATAATCGGCTAATATTTACAGCATACAATGTAATACATTGATGTAGAACGATTTTTGGAATTTCATAGGACTTGAGTAGCTGTCCAACGGAACTACACGCATTTAGAGGTGTAGCCAAATGAGATTATAAATTCCACGCATGTTTATTAATTTCATTATTTATTTATACTTAATGTTCAATTCTGAGCTCGAGGCTATCAGTCAATCGTTCATTAAAAAATACAATTATTTACCGAGAACAACGTGAATAATTGCTATCACGGGGGTGACGATGGCAGGTGCCTAAATCCTTCCTGTCCTTTATCTGCTGCGTCTACTCTCACCAACGGGACCCCCGCCCGAGCATGTTTTGTTTAACTTGAAAGGTTGTTCTATTGAAGTATTCTTATCTTCACTTCTTATTTATATTATTTGGGATACAATTACTAGAGCCTATATTAATACTGGTAAGATACCAACTATTTTAATAATGATTGATCTATAATTGTAACATTGTATATTCATAAAAATAATAATAATAATATTATTATTTTTATGAATATATATATATATATATATATATATATAATTTAATTTATTATAATTGATGAGTTATTGTTTTTTTTTCTTTTCAGAAAAATGTTTTGTTGCTTAAAGTGGGTACCATTAAAAGTTTTAGTACATATACGAGAACAGCATTTGATTTTTGTATGACAAGAGAAATGGCCGCAAATTTTAGTTTTTGTCACAACACCAAACAAGCTTTTAATAAGCTTCACATTTTTTAGGTAATTCGTGGTATGAACATTAAACTGTAATAAAAATGCAAATTGAATATGTTAATATACAGGGTGTTCAGTAAGTCAGGAAACGGGTTTCTATTGTTCTCATTGTTTGTAACTTACTTTTGTCTAAACATTTCATTATTTTGTAAATGATTTTTAAAATTTATTTACTTAGATTATTTCACAGTTTTTTTATTAATAGTGAAAACAAAATATAGCATTTAGGAAACAAAAAAAAAACATGGTAATCTTATGCCATCTTATTGAATGCTACTTATGTGTTTTACTTCTTTTGTTGTACTTATGGCAATGATTTTCTTTAATTCAATTTCATGGAAATTAAATTAAAATTACTAATTGATTTATAACCACAGTAATATTTTTTGTTATATCAACTATTGCAATTTCACAATTTACTAATACTGTACTAATATTAACTATATATTTCTTGTCTAAACTCTATAACACCTTAGTGATTAATTTATTATGATAAAATATTTTTATTGGATTTTTTTGGTATATATTGTACAACAATAAATCAAACTGAGTTACAGTAAATAAATTGCTGACATTGCTAACATCATAATTTTTATTTAAAATTAACTATTGTTATTAATTTATATTAATTATTATTAAATTGTATGAATGGATTGTTTACTATAGTTATAATTATCATTTAATATAAAATAAACCTAAAATTCGAAGATTAACTATTTTATTTTATATTTACATATAATATATTTTATTTTATTTTATACATTGTGCATATAGTAATACAATTTATTATTTTAAAATTATAAAATGTTTGAATATTTACAAAACCTATAAATTTAATTTAAAATACCGTAACTGCTAATGAACTAATGAACGCTTAATGAATCGTCGTAGAGCTTGCTTTTATTGAACTAATGAACGATTATTGAACTGTTATCGAGGGTTTTATAGTTGAACCGAGGGACGGTCTTTGAACTCTTACTGAACTTTTGTAGAACTCGGTTCACCCCATGTTAAAATCCGTATTCAAATCTCATTTTGAACCGTGCTGTGAACGGGTTTTGAACTGAGTTCAGCACCGTTGTTACTATATTAAATGAACCCAGTATGAACTCGAATTGCTACTCGGGTNCGTTGTTTCTATATTAAATGAACCCGGTATGAACTCGAATTGCTACTCGGGATTAACTATAATCATTGAATATAGATAGTACAGCAGTCCCAAACTTTCCACAACACTTTTGTGACTAGTTAAAATAAATTTGGAAAGTTCCAAGAAAAAAATTTTTTTTTTTATATTTTTATAAACTTTCAAGTGTGAAATTATCGTTTAATTAATAATTAGTTGTATCAGAAACTAAATGAAACAAATCTGAGTTTATTGATTAGTTAAATTGGCTAAATTTGAAATAAGTAGCAAAATTTCATATAAGAATCTTTTAAATATTGAAAAGCACAGAATTTATTATTATTATTTTTTTTTGTTTTCCTGAAAAATGCATTACTTGCATAAATTTTTGTCAGTTAGAAAACGATACAACATTTAATTATGTTTGGCACAACTCGAAGTACTTACAGCAACAATGTGATTATCAAAATTTGATTATAATAATAGATGACTACATTTTTTTGCCATAGATGTTATTACTGCTGAATAATGTTTTAGTCTAAAGTTAGCAGTCAGCATTTCGCTTATTAGCAGCCACAGCGTGTTGGACGCAAAGATCTTGTACACTAACCTTATGTTTATAAGATTTATGGCTAGACGCCAAGAGCTATACATTAGCCACATATTTGCAGTTACCACTCACACATGTTCAAAGTTTACGAGAGTTCAGAACATCAAAAGTTATAAAATTATGTAATTATACAATAGTTATGGTTTATCCTAATAGCCACCCATTTTGCGTCCCTCGCAACACTAATGCTATCCTATACGAACGCAAGACATTTTTAGTGTAGATAGTTACTCTATACTATTCATACTCAATGGTATAATTTATTATAGCATTCAAGAACACTGGGCGTGGCCAATGTTGGTAGGGAAAATGGCCGGGGGACGGGGCGTGGTCAAGGTCAGATAGTGGCATGGTTTGGGATGATGGTAGGAGTAATGTGCATGACTTAAAATTGGTGGAGTGGGTACTATGAGCTTTAAAAAATGGCGACCTCCTCTTTAACCCAAACAAAAGTTCAAAGGGAGACCCTAATATAGACTTAGGTCTCCTGTTTAAACCTAACTCTAACTTATGGGCCCCTTCTCGTTAACTCAGTGTAACCACCGACTCCCTCGTTATCCTTAATACAAGAGTACATAAAGTCAACGAAGTTACCGTAGTGGTGGTATAGAAACTCAACGAAAGTTTAGGACTATCTACACATGCTCACTGTAGCTTAAATATTTCGCAAACAAGGTGGAGGGTTAAGGGAGGTGATTCATTCAAAATTATAAAGTTGTTCTCCTCCTATGGTATCCTCTGCTTGAGGATGGGATAAATTAAAACCCCATGTAAACTGATCTATAGTCTAGTGGAGAGGGTAATGTATATTTATATTACATATATTACGTTTAATATTTAACGTAGGCATTAAATTTAATAGTGTGGAGTACGTTAAGTAGCGGTCGCCATCACCACCATCTTACACGTGTTATTAACTATTCTCAAAATGATTGAGAACGACTCAACCCAATCTTGATAATAAACTCTATGATGTTATCGTTTTCATTGTAATAGCCATTACAATTAAGTAATTGTCACCGCAACCGTTGTGAATGTCCTACATACAATCGTGGTTACCCAACCCAACCCTGTCCCATCACCAGCCGAGCGGAGGGTGAGTGGTAAATCTAACGTAAACTAACCTTATTCCTAATCCCTAAGGAAGAATCTCCTCCTTCAACAAGCGACAAGGGAGATCACAAATATCAAATTAATGAAAAATATTTTAATGAGGTGGTTAGTTAACGTTGTTAAATATATTCTCTATCTGCATATATATAATCAAAAAAATATTTTTAAATTAAATTATTATACTACATTATTTTATTATTTTTTTTTTTTGTTACAATAGGTTTTGAATCGTATGGTCATGCGACAGCTTTGGTTTAGTCAAGTACCCTAGAAGTAGGTATAGGTTTTGCTAAAGGTATATATTGAAATACAAAAATAAAAAAACCTGGATATTATATTGTAGCCAATTACAATCCTCTGACTAATGTACGTGGATATTACAAAGCCAATGTATTGCCACCAGTTAAGCCGTTAAATAGTTTTTTTAAATTTAAATATAAGCCTTGAAATTGATACCCTATAATCTTAAATTTATTGTTCAGTTGTTTTAATGATTCTAATGACGAACAACTAACAAAATGTTTGAATAATAATAAGTTGATTAAAAATTTAAAAATGTTTAATATATTTAATTTCATGTTTTTGAATGTAATAAAAGTTAATAAAGATTAATAAATTTATATATACAGAGTGATTTTTTTTATCATAACCCACTCAATTACTTGCAGAATAATAATAATTTAGACATTTTTTTTTTTCATTATCTTTAGTTACACATTATTCTTGAATTTTTAACTATGTAATACTTTTTAAGTTCATCCCTTATGCCTTGGAAGGGGGTCAACTTTGTTTTTTTAAAAGATAACACATATTTTTAATTTAATAAAATGTTTGAGTTTTTAATTTAATAGTAAATGGCATTTGAATTTTTAATAAAACTTAATTTGTTTATTAGATATAAACATTTAAAGTTTCAAAATGTTGAGTTAATATACATGTATAATACACATGGGATTGTAAATACAGGTAGCTAATTGGATTTTTATGACATTGCTGTCTCAGTCACGGATTGTTTATTATCAATTATGTTTATCAATAGATATATTTTCTGTATTGTCAGTTAGTGTATTTATATACTCATAACAATGTGCCTTACTACAATTGATAATAACAATGCTGTGTACCTGCTAATATCGATGTTATAAAAAACCAATTAGCTACCTGTATTTGTAATCCCTTGTGTATTATACCTATATATTAACTCAAAAATTTGAATATTTAAATGTTTATATCTAATAAACAAATTAAGTTTTATTAAAAATTCAAATGCCATTTACTATTAAATTAAAAACTCAAACATTTTATTAAATTAAAAATATGTGTTATCTTTTAAAAAAACAAAGTTTACCCCCCTCCAAGGCATAAGGGATGAACTTAAAAAGTATTACATAGTTAAAAATTCAAGAATAATGTGTAACTAAAGATAATGAAAAAAAAAAATATGTCTAAATTATTATTATTCTGCAAGTAATTGAGTGGGTTATGATAAAAAAATCACCCTGCATATATATATGTAGGGTGATTCATTAAGGATAAGACACTCATTTCCTCGGTAACTACTGAAAATTTTTAATTTTTGGTATGGAAAATATTGTTTAATTCAAAAAACTCTACAATAATATGTAGTAAAATCATAATTTTTTTCATTCCTCTAAGGTTAAAAAACCTTAATTTTAATTTTATTAAATGGGAACCTCTATTTTGAATTTTAGCTTCGATGCGAAGCTGAGAAGGTATTAATTTTACCATGATGCGTTTTTTTTTTTTTGTGTCTGTTACCACTTTTACTCAGCTCAGTCATACATCGAACGGATTTCTTTCAACGATACGTCAAAAGATCACAAATCGTATCTAGTCGAAGACATTACCCTTAAAAATTGAAAAAATTTCCCTCGTTTCTCGCAAATGGAGGAAATATCCAAAAAAATTACAAATTTAAAAATCGGTAAATTTTGTCATTTTTTTCACTTTTTTTTCTTAAAACTCATAACTTTTTCAAAAATAAACAAATAAACATAATTTTTTTTTATATTAAAACCTTAGATATTTCCCTTTCATTTGATATCATTTTTTTGAAAATCTAACCCTTAACCTGCTCATTGGAGGGGATTTAAAATAGCAATTTTTTTACAAAAACTAACTTTTTCAACTTAACTTTTGAAAATGTTCCGGAAATATTCACAGTTTTTTTTAATCTTAAATTAAAGCTTATATTATATACTTTACTATGAAAAAAAAAAAATCGAAATATATATTTTCTATACCGTATTCAAAAATATGCTATTTTTGTGTTAAAATTCTTGGTTTTGTATTTTATTTTATTATAAGGGGATTACACTGATTTTCATAAATATTATATCAACCTAATTGATATAGTATAAAAAATTACACATATTTAAATTTTTTTGTTTCTTTGAAGTCGAGAAAAATATCTTTAAAATTTGAACTAGCTAAATTTCCATTTTTATTAAGTAACGAATGAGACGTATGGTATCTGAGACGGTAACACTTGGGTCTATCATGCCTGTGGCACTGAATTTTTTCTTAATTCTTTTTGAGTTAGAAAAAAATGTTTAACTCATTTGATTTTTATTTCATTTAGATTCAATAACTTCAATAAATATCAAGGATCCCATTTCTGTAGTCTCCTCTCGTGAGAAGATGTGGTTTTTTTTTGTAGCTATCATTTATTTTCTCAGATCTCACTTAATCTACATTTTTGACAAATATTTTTTTTTTTAAATTAAACACTATCTACAGGTTTGCATCGAAGCGTTTTTTATGATAGTGATTTTAATCACTGTCAGATATCATGTATACTGGACCCAACTATGCCACGACCCCACTGTGCTGGGTTTATTTTTGTTATGATTTAAAGTAAAAATACAAACAACTTTGCTCTTATATTTTTTTTTCCGATCAACTGATCGTCTGTTACAGCTTGTTAAAATTAAATGATTTTGGACTAAATTTCTATTATTTTACTAATTAAGCTAAAATGATAAATTTATATCGTTTAAATAAGGTGAAGTTTATGAATTAATTAAAATATGTATTAAGAATCAACTCGAACATCTTTTTATTTTCTTCGAAAATTAATTAATTCATAAATTAAGTTTTGGAAATCAACTAATTGACACCTATCTAATCTTATAACAACTGCTCGTCCCCACTACTGTGTTACCGTTTTTAACACGCTTATATTAGTTTCACGTGTATGTTGTTGTTTGTTGTTTGTCGTTTGTTGTTTGTAACTCCACGCGGCACGTGTTATTATGTCGCGTATCCCGTCGTGTATGACCTTGAGACTATACTGTTGTAACGCATTCACCCCACCCCGCTCACCACTCGTAGAGAACAATATTTTCCAACCCGTAGACGCGCGCTTATCATCAATTATATATATATATATATAACAAATTTTTATTGTAATTGACACAGCCCCGCGTCGTTTTACGCCGCGGTGCAAAGTCCAGCAAGTGCCGCACGGCCGACGACGTCCCGCCGCTATACCGTAGTCTTCTTCCCATTGTCAAAATAACATCGTCAACAAACTGATCCGCACTCGCGCACCGTCGTCATCTACGCTGCTAACCTATTGACGCCCGAGGATCACGCCGGACATCGCGTCTTCGACGCCAGCAAAAGTGCCGCGATATTATGCGAAGATTATATATTCCTACCGCCACCGCTAATATTAATATATATATATATATTTATACGTATATGTTAATATTCATTTATATATTCCTACAGCCGACGCCTCTGCTGCCGTATATGCCTCGTGTATAATGTTCCCTCCGCCATGCCCGCCCACATAAACACGGCTATACCTCATGCATGATACGTTTACGTACTTAAGTCCCTTTAAATATATATATATTCTAATTACTATTAAAACTTATATATTAATACACTTTATTCTCATTAAGAGATATGTAGTGTATTCATTCCGATTACGGAGGATGATTCTCGTATCGTTATTTTTCGTCACTACCTCCACGTTACGCGCCTGCTGCTTTCCTTGGATGTGGTAGCCGTTTCTTAGACTCCCTCTCCGGAATCGAACCCTTATTTCCCGTTACCCGTTACAACCATGATATTGATATTAACTACTATCATAACATGAAACTAAAAAGTGAAAAATAAATATAGTTTAAAAAAACTAAAAAACACGCTTTTAAAGCACATCGAACTAAAAAGTTAAAAATAATTTTTAAAATTAACTTAAAACAATAATGAACGAAAAATACTAGTATTATTGTGAAAAAAATCGTGGGTGCTTTTTGCCATATTTTTTGTATATTGAGCGCCTGACGCTTTTTTTCACAATAATACTAGTATTTTTCCTTCATTATTGTTTTAAGTTAATTTTAAAAATTATTTTTAACTTTTTAGTTCGATGTGCTTTAAAAGCGTGTTTTTTAGTTTTTTTAAACTATATTTATTTGTTTTATAATTAATTTTATAGATATTATATAAACAATATATTTGGTATTAGAGGATAAGTTTTAGTTTCTCCAGCCATTTAATAAATGTGGGAGAGGTTATGATACAGTCGATTTTGGGTCCTCGATATGCATAAATAAGATATACAATAGCTATGATGTACAATATACGTGTTCTGCTTCTCCGCTCCGCACTCACATTCTTGTGAATTTCTCATGCCTCATTTGTGTAAGGCATCTGAACATCTACCATGAGAAGTTCGTATTTTATTACGTGAGCATCACAGACTGCGCTGTAGATCTAATCTTGTGAGTAAATGTCCTTTTAATATGTTACATAGGAGTTTGTCGTTCTCTACTGCATATGTCCATGTTTGTTTTCAGTTGATCATCATATCAAAGATTTTGCTAATTAGGAAAATTACTAAAATAGGTTTGTTTTCATTATGATTAACTATCTATAATTGTATTTAAACTATATATTCATAGTGCAGTGAGTTTTTAATGTTATTTTCATAAAAAACTTATCAAGTCACGTTGTGTAATCCTTCAATCTATAATCGTGAATTAACTTTTTTTACGACTTTTAAAAACATGTTTCTGCTATGCTTCTCTTAACTAATAACTAAAAAAATAACTATATTTAGAATTTATTAGAAAAGTCAATATTTATATACTAGAGATTAAGAAATACTAATGTAGCCTAAATCGTCGAATTTTTTTTGGTTACAAATTTATCCTACAATATAGCTCATTTGGTGATAATTCGCCTAATAAGGCAACACTGTCTATCATCAGTTTTCATTAAATAATAATGATAACAGAAATTTTCAGTAAATATTTTTTTTAGAGAATCGATTAAAGTTAAACTTAATTTATAGTCACTACCGTTATTTTGTTCCGAATGCGTACGATTTAGAATTATAATTACGTGTTGTATATAATCTTATTTGAAAACCTAATTTCTTTTCTACTTACGTATACGTAATATTTTTTATGGTATTATTAAAATATTTGTTAACATAATATGGTTATTTTGTAATTTATCAAAATTATGAATGTACTTTTAGTTGGTTGTGGTTTTACCTCTACATTGACTGCGTTTTTATTGCGTTCAAAATATCCAAATATTCATCTAACACTATGGGATAAAGCTAGAGGTCCAGGTGGTCGAGCTTCAGTTCGCCGTGGACCTAATGAAACTTTTGTTGATTTAGGGACCCAATTTATCACTACTAATAATTCAATTATATCAAAATATTCAGTTATTTACAACATGTTAATTTCTTCTAATAACTTAGTACCAATGATGTGTAAAGTCATAGGGATGCGAGAATCACCAGATGATAAACATTTTATTGCACCCAATGGGACTAGTTCAGTCGTTAAATATTTGTTAGATAATTCTAAAGTTAATGATATTAAATTTGGAAGAAGAATTTGTACTATATTACCAACAGGTAATGTGAAATGCATAGACGGTTATGAACAAACATTTGATTTAATTATAATTACAAATCCAATTCCTCAAATTTTGGAATTAGAATGTCCAATATTACAAACAGTCAGACAAAATATTTCTGATGTCACTTATAGTACAAGATTTACTTTTAATATGTTTTATGACAAACCTATATTAAAAGTTGATTGGGATGTTAAATTTTTGAATGATGAGATATTTAGATATGTGTCAATTGATAATCGTAAACGAGGAAAATATAATACTGCCGATTGTGTTGTGTTTCATACAACTAAAGAATTTGGCCAAAAGAATATAAATGAAACACGAGATTCTATATTTAATACTTTAAATGATAAAGTATTTAAGTTATTTCCAGATTGGCCTGAACCAGTATATTGTAACACTCATAAGTGGTTGTATTCACAAGTTAATAATTCTTATAATAACAAACCAGGGTGTGTTATATTACATAAAGAACCAATACCGATAATAGCTGGAGGAGATGGTTTTACTCAATCAACATTTAATGGATGTCTGGAATCAGCATTTAAAATTTGTGAAACTGTTTTAAATCTTAAAATATCCAACAAATAATCTTAATTTGAAATATTTATGTAAATATGGGGAAAAAATTAAACATTATATTTTATTAATAAATCAAAATGTATTTGAATCTTAAATTATGTTTCTTCTGCTAAATTTAGCTCATCAAGCTCATTATCTAGGTCATCTAAGTCTTCATCAATAAAAAGATTTTCGTTTATAGGAATCACATTTGACTCTGTTTCAGCAAATCGGTTAACTGGTAGTCGTGTACCAGTATCATCCACCTCACTTGCTTCTGATTCAAGAGCTTCTAATTTTATTTCTCGTATCTAGGATTTAAATAAAAAATATTAATAAATTTTATTTAAGGTGTCTGGGGTCCAAAAATTATTGGTTAAAGGAATCATAATTGGAATTATGATTCCTTTGACTAAGTAAAGGTTACATTTTTGAAAATATTAATTTTATCAAAATAAATTTTTTCATTACAGGAATTACAATTTAACCTGACCGGTTGGATGCTAAATTTAGATTTTTTTGCCTTGTATGGGTAATAACTTATTCAAAAATATCTTATTACTTATTATAAAATGGGGCTGGTGTTAAGTTGTGGATTTTATATTACATAAAATAAATACTTGTTCTTAAATCAATATATATTCATATTGTATCAAAAAGTTAGGCAAGTTCACAAAATCGGTTTGGTTATAGACTATAATACGGTGAAAATGCAATCAATAATGTTACTAACAACATAAAACAAAAAATAAACTAACACTTATAATAATTTATTTGTCATACAATGACACTGCGTAACATAAAACCTTTAAATTGCTTATATAAAAATTCTTGAAAAAAGGTTGGTACCCAGACATTCTAAAAAATTAATTAAATATGGGAAAAATATCTAAATAAAAAAATAATATTAAAAAGCATACATTATCAGTTTCTTCTTCATCTTCTCGTAAGTATGAATCAAATGCTTCTTCGCCATCATCTATTGAATCACCAACTGCCATTTCAGGATTAAATGAAAACATTTCTCGCCCAGAAAGCTAAAATCCAACCAAATAATATTTAAGAGTTGTAATAAACTATTTGATATCAAAACTTACTCCAACTTGTCTTCCAGCTTTATAATCAGAACGTTTTTTTTCTTCATCCTTGATAATAGCTTCTTTCTTTTCCTTTACTTTCCGTTTTTTCCAAGCTAAAAAACTTTCTAATGTTACCCTAGTAAATTTAACAGAATTCAGGGCTGCACGTTCTCTTTCAATTAAATCTTCTAGTTGAATTTCATCTTTTTTATCATCTTTCTTCCTGTCCTTAATATGAGTTGTAATATTATTAAGATGTTTAAACTTGATGGTTAGTTATATTTACCTTTTTAAGGACAAAACCTGGTGGTAGAGCATGTCGGTAAATACAAGATGTTCCATTTGGACATGTCCAAAACCATCCATACTTGCTTTTTTCAACAGCTTCCAAGAAAAATGTACAAATCTATAACACAAATTTATAAAATTTATTAAATTGTTTATACATATTTTATCTTCATATTACAATATCAGTAGTTGGGTGTTTCTTTTCATTTTCACCATGTTTTTTTTGAACAACTTCTTTAAGTTTTTCATCATCCCAATTATCCATGGTGTCATTCACATCTGCATCTCTCATGTCTACATACATGCTACGTTTTTCGGCTTTTTTTTCAGTAGCCAAATCATGGGAAAATTTACATTTAGAACCTTTGGCACATTGGCCCTGTTTATAAAATGCACATAAAATAGATTTTGGATCAGCACCTGTAACAGCAAACATATAATTCTAAGTTATGAAATGAAGGCAATATTTCATAGCTATGAACATATAAAGAGAGAATAAGAAGATTTATATATCACATTGAAACCGTGGTATTTAAATATAGAAATATGAAACTTTTTTAATTGAGCTATTTAGGCCTTATAAATATTTAAAAAAATATAATAATTGTATTTGAAATTACAGATAAATATTAAGTAATTATTAAATGAAAAGGTTTATGTAAAAACAATGCTTATTGTTTAAAAAAAAAATTAACAAAGAATTAAAAATTTTTAGTATATTGACATTTTATATACATTACATTACATTTTAATGTATCTTAATCAAAAATTTATATTTTTTGAAATTTAATATAATAATATGTTATAAAAATAATGATCAATTTTACATCCTTCCATTTCTTGAATTTAATATGTTACATGGTGGTAGCCCTCTTTTACATGTTAGGGATTCAAAGATGGTTTTTGGCTAGGCCAATGATGAAAGAGATGGGTTTTATGACTGGCTTGCACCAGACATCAGACACCACCAATGAGATTATCATAAGATAAGTCTTGTTGGCATCCTAGGAATCGAACACAGGACCCCTTGTTCTGAAACATACGTTTTTACCTACTAGGCCCCTTATAATAATAAACAAAAAACTATCTCTTAAAAAAGAAATTGAGTTGGGTTCAAATTAAAAGCATAAAATATTAAGTAAAAATTTAAAATACATTTTTTACTCTCAGATAAAATTTAAGAATTATAATCTTGAAAGTAATAATCATTTATGATGAAATGAATTATATTTATATATATTTATCACATTTAAACTTAAATTTTTACTTGAAAATAATGAGGAATTTTATAGCTATACATTAGAAATGGCTATATTAAAAATATATTAATAATCAATTCTAAAATCAACGTATTTAAATATTTCAATAATTTAATCAGATAGTTTTATAAGTTTTTCTATTTAATATATAGAATTTGATCTTAATACTTTCTCATTCCTTACCTTTTTCAACTTTTTGAACTGGTTTAAATATTAATCCTAAATCATCTTTGTTTTTGTCATCTTTTTTCTTCTCTTCTACTTTACGTGCTGGTATACCTCCAGACTTAACCTGCTTTTCAACTTGTTGAATAAACCTTTGTTGTTTAGCCCCTTTTTTATTTTTTAAACCGAATGTTTTATCCTAGTAATAATTAATTATTTTTCATCTCAAAAATATATACATAATATCACAGTGATAGAACTCACCTCAATAACTTTTTCTTTTTTTTTTTGATCAGCTTTTTTGCTAGTTCCCTGTACCTTTTTTGGAGGCATATCTCAATTATTTAATCTAAAACCTTCCCGTATAAGAAATGGTCAGGAATTCTTCAATAATCTAAAACTTTTAGTGGATAAAGTACTAAAATTTATTACAAAATTATTTAACCAGACGTTGGTCGTACTTGCTTTATCGAATGATTGTACAATAACCTTAAAATATATACTGTTATCTAACGTTTTGATATCGTGTACGAGTAGATTAATATTCTACGTAGAATACTTATACTAATGTATTATTAATCGATATTACCGAGATTGTATGGATATATAAAAAAAATATAAATAACAAACTGTAAAGGTCTCAATTAGTTTTAAAATATTAATAAAGTGTTATATAAACACATAGTCCATTGTATACTTAAGACTCTAAATAAGTAATCCAATAACCAATCCATCAGTCTTGCGAGAAATTTACAACGCGATTAAAGAATTAAATAATTGCAATTATAAAAGATCTTATTCAAATAACATATAAGACAATTAGCTAACTTAGGAGAACTAAATTTTAGGGGATATAGTTGTTATGTTACAATTAAGTATGAAAATGTGATAACATATCGTTTCACTTAGGTAAATAATATTACTTTGCTCCTTAAAACTGTCCACTGTATGTATTATTTATCCAAATCGGTTAACTATTTTTTAATTGATTATACTTCTTTTTAAGCCTTTATATACGTTAGGTGTCCCAATAAAATTAAAAAATAAAGTACCCAGACTATCATAAATTATTACCAAACATGTTTTCTTAATAAGATATAACCGATTTTATTTTTTGGGGTAATTGCAGAAACTGGAGTTCGAAATCTCAACAAATGTTTAACAATTATCTTAAGTTTATTTAATTTATTTAAATGTATAAATAAAATAATAATTTGGTTACTAGTAAAAATTAATTTAGTATATTAATTATTTAAATTTTTATAATCTTATTACAAGGTTAAAAACTTATATTTTGCTCATTAAGATACATGATTAATTCAAGGGCCACGAGGACATTCTTTTATAGCTATTCAAAAATCTGCATTTTCTTTTTAGCCGATAAATAATAAAATTTCTATCCATGATTTTTTATAATTTAATAAAAATGCCACAATTTTTTTTTTAATTAATTAAAAAGTAAATAGTTACATAAAAACCTTAATTCTTTTTAAATTAAAGTATGAAATATTGTCCTTTAACAAATATTTTATTTTTCTTAATGCGTAAATGTTTGAATATAATTTTAGATTAATAAATTAAAAATATACTAAGAAAACTAAATGTATAACATTAATATAAACATATATATAAATATTTTTTTATTTAGCTGTCATACATAAAAATCTGCACTTTTAATTTATTTAAGTAATATAAGATGTAAAATAAAATATCAATAATAATGTACTATTTACAAGCTTATTTTACCAGTCTCTCTTTTTTTTTTGTTGTACACTTGTAAGAATATAATAAGCTTTATCAGTATGTCTTATACTCATTTGTTTGTGCTTTTGATGTGTTTTGCACAAATTATACATTCTTTCATCGCGAGTCACAAAGTAACAGTCTTTACAGCGTTTTCTAATCTTTCCAAAAACTTTAAACCCTCTGGTAGAACCTAAAAGTTGATTCCATCCAATGGGATATGTTTGAACTAATAGATTACCATGGCTGTTATTATTCAATAGCATAGGACGTTGAATTATTTTTTGAAATAAATTAGAGAAGAAATTCATCCTATGACAAAAACAATAAATTTAATTAATTTGTTTAAATAAATTCTATAGAGTAAACAATATAAAGAATATAAATAATTTTTGGATAAATTAAGGTTATCTTCTCCCAATAATCAACCAGATGGTTGTTTTAAACCAATCAACCAGTTAAATTGTGTCAATTTTAGTTGCACTCATAATATATGAGAAATAGATTTAAGTGTAGTGGTTTCTCATTGCCTACTACAATGAGGTCATAATAATGTAAAAACGTTAAAAGTAGTCTCCTATTTGTGAGTTAGGGTTATAAAGGCAAAAGGCAGCTTAACACTAGACCTTATATGTAGCTAGTGTGTCCACTATCCTAAATTGTATAACTTTTTTTACACAAAGGTTATGTATTTATAAATTTCTACTTATACATACTAGTTTAAATGGAAAAATAATTATCTAAAACACTCAATTTTTAGTCATAAGTTTCATAAAATATAATTATCATAATAATTTAACAATAAGAGTATAAAAATTATTAATTTTATTTGTTAAACTTTTTTAAGTTGAATTAATTAAATTTTAATGTAATCTGTTTTGAATACAATTGAAACTGGCAATAAAATTCATTTATTACTGCCATAGTTATGTAGCACATCTAAATTTATTACCATATTATGGGATTTCATGCAATGAAAGACTTATCAAATAAATATTAGCAGAAAATAGTAATTTTAGTTTTTTCATAGTTGAGATAATTAAGTTATTACCACTAACATACTAAAAAAATGTATTTATTTTTATAGATATAATATTAAAACTTAGCACTTTATTCTTAAAAATAAATGTTTAATAATTACTTTAATGATAATGTAAAATCTCTTTGCTGGTCTTAGTTGTAATAATTTATTAGATTATTTTATTGAAATGAAATTCTCAAAAAAAGAAAGCATAACAAAAAGCATTTTTAATATTATCTTAAGTTTTGGTTGATATCACAGTCTATAATCATATAGTTATATATTTCATAAAGTCTGTATTGATATTACAATTATTTTTATCACTATAAAAGGGGGGCTTACGAAATCGGTACAGTACTTATGATGAAATGGATAAAATAAAACAGGTCATTATAGAACAATAATAAGTAGGAATTATATTTATCAGGGACAGTATTTTAAAGAATGAGAAGCAGCTGTACTTTTATTTCTTGGGATTGTATTAACTAATCAAATAATAAAGACAAATACATTTTAACGGATTAAAATTGAAAAGAAAAATATAATACGTAACGACGGAGTAATATAGAGAAGCCTTTGCCTATATGAAATTTATATTATGCAATCACTACTAAACATACATCAAAATGTTGTTTCAAATTATATATTATAATTATATAAAAAATATTATTACAATAATACTATTATTATTAATATAATAATATCTAAGCTTCAATAAGTTATAGCATTATAAAGTTAAAAATGTAAAAACAAAAATCGATAATTTTCACACAAAAATAGCATTTGGTAGCCATTTTCACCGTGAAGACAAAATAAAGTCAGAAAATTTATTTTCCATAATAAAGTACATTAAATTGGCATTAATTTAAGATATATATAAAAAAGTCAAACTTTCCGGAACACTTTCAAAAGTTAAGTTTAAAAGTAAATTTTTTGTGAAAAAGTTGTCATTTTAAATCGCCCCCTGTGGGCAGATAAAAGGTCAGATTTATAAAAAAAATATACTAAATGAAAGGTAAAGACATTATGCGTCTATAAGAAAAAATTATATTGATTTGTTCATTTATGAAAAAGTTATGGCAGTTTTAAGTAAAAATAAATTGAAAAAATTTCGAAAATTAGCGATTTTTAAATTTGTAATTTTTTTGGAGGTTTCCCTCATTTACGGGAAACGAGGGAATTTTTTTCAATTTTTGAGGGTAATGTCTTTGACTAGATACGATTTGTGATCTTTTGACGTATCGTTGAAAGAAATCGGTTCGGTAAGAGCTGAGTAAAGTGGTAACGGACACAAAAAAAAAAAAATAAACACATAGTAAAACCAATACCTTCTCAGCTTCGCATCGATGCTAAAATAATAATATGAGTACAAAATACTTATATGTATTAACAATTATACTTCACAATAATCCACTAATTATTATTCCAAACAATAGGTAGATGAAAGATAACTTAAAAATAATAAAAAAATAATCTTTAAATGTCGTGTTATTTGTGAAAATTACAAACATTAACAGAACATTTTAATAAAATGGAAATGCTCAAAGCAAAATCATATCCTATTAAAAACTATGCACATGGACTTAAAAAGAAAAACTCCTGACTCGGTCAAAAAAAACTAGTTCTTACCCGTTGAAGACAGCTTAGTTAATAATATTTATTATTTATAATAAGTATAAATAATTAATAAAAATAAAAAATTACTGGTGTTATGAACCCGGGTTTTTGAGATCGAATTGAACAATTTAAATATTTTATCGGACCTTAACCAAACATTAAATTAATCTAATGTTTTTTCAGGCAAAAATTATTAAAATGGTTTGATATTGATTTATAATTTAGATTTACTGGTTGCGCTAAACTAGACATGGATCTCAGTTTCTAAAAAAAATTTAACGTAGTGACCTTTTTTGTTCTTCACTAATTGAATTTTAATTCTTTTGGTAAAAATTAAAAATAATTTTCTTTAATGGCATATTCATTCAAACTTTTTAAAGACTGTGTAAGAAGGACGCGTGGCTATTCCTTGGATTATAGATGCCGTTTAATTATAAAGTCTTAAAATTTGAGTAGGGAATTTTTTCCTAGGAGTCTTAAAATAAGATCTACAACATTTGAACTTTATTTATGTTTAACCTCATTAATGTAAGATCCAGAAATATTAGATACATATGGAAATGAAAAAGCATCATTTTTATATAACGTTATTCAAAGATATTATATAATCTGGGGCGCAACAAATTTTTAGACATAAAAATAAATTTTTTGATTTTTTTAAGTAGTTTATGGTAGTTTAATAAGATGCCCACTATTTTTGACACTCGAGAATTTTTTCCTATTTGTTTAAAAATAAATTCTACAAAATTTTAACTTTATATGTTATAATTAATAGGCTACGTTCTAAGCTCCAGTTTTAAGAAAATCCAAAATGTTGTACTTTTTGGTTTTTGATTTTACGAAAAAATGATGATGTGCTATTTTATTTACTACAAATAATATCTTAGACAATTTTTCATAAAATTTCTACTTAAAATAAAAAAAGTTTAAAAGTGACATATTTTTTTATATTCTTAAAATTGAGGGTTTAAAATTTTTAGAACTTTTTTTATATTTAGATTATTAAATTAAGTATTTAAATGGACAGACACAAAAAAAAACGCATCATGGTAAAATCAATACCTTCTCAGCTTCGCATCACAGTTAAAATGTATAATTATTTTTAAATATAGATATAAACCTCTTGCATTTATTCAATTTAAATTTTGAGGATTCTTCAAATTTTTATTCATTGCCATAATTGGGCATTTTGCTTAGGTTGGGTTTAATTTTGGCTTTGCAAAATTAGCAAAAAAAGGAATAAGGGTAGTAATTTAAAACTGGAAGGTATTTACAACCCCTTAATATTCCCAAACATGGACATATGAGTTGGTGTTATTGGACTCCAACTATTTTTAATTTATATTCTCCCTACCTCATTAAAAGTAATTTATAACTGCCACAATTTTTGGCTAAGTTGCCTTTTTTGTAGTTCGTAAACTTCAATCTTACTTTAGTGAACATTACTACTTTATTTATAAAACTTTTTATCATTTCTTGCGAGTTCTCTCCTTCTCATATCCGACGTTAATCCTAAATGATAACTGAATCATAGCTTAGTATTTAAGTACTACAGTACTTTAATTTTGATTTGTAATTTTATCATCCTCGATTTTATGTGTGTGGGGGTCCGAATCCTTAAAAAATAGGCACCGAGAAAGAATCGTTTTAAAGTCATCTTTTTAAAACATGAAAGAAGTGTATTTTTCAAAATTGAGATGGTTTCATATTAAGATTGTTAAGTACCTGACTCTAATTATTTGTATATTTTGGATTTGTTAATCAATTCAAAAATATAATTTATTGGAATTTATTATATTAAAATTAATAAATAGTACTTCGATTAAATTATTAATAATAATGCGTTTTAATATTCAAGAAAGAACCTATATCACTAATTTAGGAAAATCTTAATATCGTTAAAAATACAGAGGGGACTATTACCCCTATTTATTTTGAATGTCAAAAGTATTATAATGTATTACATTTATATACATTTTGATTATATTTTTATAGAGATATATGTTGAGTTTTTTGGTCCATTTTCAAATATCATAAAATATAAATATTTCTTTAAGAACATTAAAAAATAAATAAATTTTAACTATTAAGAATTTTTTTTATTTTAAAAATTAAATCAACAGTCATTTAAAAAATTTTAAGTAGATTTAAGTATTTTAATAGATAAATAAACTTCCTATCTAATTCTAAACATTTAATAGTAGATAATACAATCAAAGGCATACATACTGAGATAGCAATAAGTGATTTTACCACCCTGACTGATTTAGTTTTATTGGGTTATACAATAAAGAAAAACTCTTAATCAATTTTGAGATAAGGGAGAACTAACAAATATTAATTTAATATTTTCTGAATATTAGTTGGCAAAAAATGTTTTTTAAGTTTAATGCTTAGCATGTCCTTATATCTTCCATAAAATATGAACTGTTAAAAATTTCTGCTGTCTCAACTTAAATGTTTGTACATCCCAATAAATATAATTATATAGAATAAATTAAAATATGCACTAAATATTAAATATTATAGAATATAATGACGTAGAATTATACTGATTAATAAAGAGAATTTACAGCAGTAACACTGAAAAAGTAATAATTCATAAGCATAAATTAAATTTTGGAAAAAATTCACCTAATTTTTATGTAAAAATGCCTGCAGTAATTTACTACTTTGAGCAATTTATTGATATAAAAATACTATATATATAGAATATAAAATGTACAATATACATATAAAACAGAAATATAAGTTATTAAAATATTACTGAATATTTATTTTACAAGGCATATTTCATATAAGTACTACATTAATAGATTTAATTACTAAGTGCATATTAGAAGGTATAACTTAAAAACAATAATAAATGAAAGAACAATGTTTACTTATGTTAAAGAAAATAAACTAATAAGTTAATAAGTTCTAAGTCTTAATAAATAAAGTACACATATAATTTTAGTTTTAGTTATTCTCAAGATAACTATGTAATTTTATAAAGTAAAATTATACAAATTTTTTTGTTAAGTAATTATAAATTAAATAAGATATTAACTACATGTCAAAAGTTTTAATTACATAAATTTTATTAAGATTTACTTTATTTAGACTTTTAAATTACCTAAGAAATTCCCAATTTTTGGAGCTCTTTTTTAAGTGCTGTTTTTTTCTTTTTTTGAAGAGCTAATGCAGAATTAAGACTTTTTTCACTATCTTCTTTTACAATTCGTAACATAACACTTTTAAGAATTTCTAAAAAATCTTTTACAAGAAGATCAGCTTCTTTTTTTCCTAATTCAATAAACTTACATGGAGGATCCAATGTTAGAGCTCTTTTTAAGTGTTCTTCCCAAGGTTTATCAGTTGGTTCCCAACCATCCAACTCTATAAAACAAGAAAAACATCTAACTGTACCAGGAACATCAGATTGAGGACAATAAAATCCTGCTTCGGCCATTTCTTTAGCACTTGGTTTGTTCATATTCCAATTTTCCAAAGATTTCATTCTTGCGACTTCCCAAGCATGTTTGATTCTTTGGTCATATTCAAAAGATTCAAACTGCTCCATGATTAGCTTTTGAATTGTCGAATTCATTTTAAAGTAAATTTAACTGTAGTTGTGAAATAATTAAAATTTTAGAACAAACTTACAATATTTTCAAGCTTAAGTCACAAATTATTTAAGTTATATCCGTATTGTAATTTTTTCTTTGTCTTTTCAAAAAAATTAATTTTTATGTTCTTTAAACTGATATAAAATCTAACCGACGTATGAAATTAACATTACGATTAGTAGTTACTGTAACCATGTTTATAATTTTATACATTCTAATTCAAATATGTTATCTATGACCAGTGTTGCCAGACCAAAAAAAGCTTAATTCCCTCTCAAACTTGTAAAATTTCCCGGTTTTTAAAAAAAATTCCCTCCTTAAATTTTTTATTTCAAATAAATGTAAATTCAATTTTCTTTTATTTCTTGTATATTGACTATTGTAAGTTGACCATTATAATATGAAATCCTTAAATAACATTGGTTTTATCAATTGTTATTCCCATTATTAATAATATTTAAAAACAAAATATGTTATAGAATTCATAAACATATCGTTTCAAAATACATTTTTCAAATAAATCGCTACTTTTTGCATAGTTTACCATTGTAGCCTCTTTGAATGTAAATATTCAAAGTAATAAAAATTTAAAAATAGTTAGATTGAAAACCACAGTCCTCACTCCTCTTAATTATATAAAATAAGGAATATTATTGTTTTTATTTACCTGGCAAGCAGAACAACGAGCTTTGAAAATATTTTTAGGAATACATTCCAACCAACCCTTAAATTCAGAGCAATTAAGCCAATTATTATTAAAACATTTTGATCCTTTAATTTTTTTTTTTTGGTGGAGTACTATTAAATACATCATTTTCTTCAAAATTATCCATGGTTAAAATAATGGAAAATGTTAAGTATAAAACATCTATGAAAATAATAATAACTTATAACTTAAAAGTTAAAACTAGTTGTGACTTAAGAATAAAACATTAATAAGTTTTTTTTTGCTGATAGACAATAGTTATCATATACGACTGTGAAGTTAGCAATTCCTATATAGCAATTCCTTATCAGATATAAAACTCAAATACACCGCTAGAGGGCGCCACTTATTTAAAATATATGTTTTATTATAAAGTAGTTACGAAAAAATTCCGAAGGGTATTCTTTTAAAAATTATATTCAAAATAAAAACTTATAAAAATTATAGTAATTTTTATATGGNTAAAAACTTATAAAAATTATAGTAATTTTTATATGGCATCAGTCACAAATGGTACTCGAGTTTCCAAGTAACCCGTTTCAGAGAAATTGCTGGGCCATATCTGCGGTAATAACACTACATATTCTCCGACGTGCGACCGGTTTTTTGTACTTTTGACAAAGTTCCGAGACGATTCCAGGCAATAATTATACACCAAATTAAAGCTTATAAAATATCCTATNTATGTACAACTATATTGCCCGAAAAAACTGATTCTATTACTCTCGCACGCGATTTTTTTGCACAATCATCTGTAAATGAAAAATAATTTTTAAAACACAATTTCGACATTATTATCAAGTTGATTTTCTTACTATTCGGTATCGATTGTTTAGTTTGCTGCGCGTGTGGAATACCTGTACCAGTCATTTCATTTTCTACGCCTGATAACGATAATTATTAATTAATATTAAATTTTATTTTTAATTAATGAATTCTCACTTACATACATCTTCAAATTCAATATCTTCTGAAAATCGCTCGATCCCTGAAACATAATTACATGATTATTATATATACATGCGTTTTCACTTTTATACTTACAGTTTTTACTATCCCCAGGATATACATTCACTATTTCTACATCTGTTGGTGTCGGATCAATTTTTTTAGCAGTTTCAAGTACTATAATAATAATAATAATAACGATAAAATAATTAATTATTAATTTTTAATATTTATAATCGAACTTACAAAAATCATCGTCACTGTCTTTACCGTCAGAAAAATTATTACCCGTCTTCATATTTTTTTTCCTAATGAATTCTTTTACTGTTTAAAAAATATAATGTTAATAAAAAATATCATAACATTAAAAAATATTTTACAATCTTAACTTACAGAGATCATCGTCACTGTTATTGAAAAAATTGTTTTCATCATTCTTGATTTTCTTTTCGTTTTCCATATGATTCATACAATCGATTCTACTATCTATATTAAAAAAACAATTGAAAAATAAAAGTAATAAATAATAAATTTAAAAATATACGTACTATTTTCATGATAGTGTTTAGAAGTACTTGCACCGTAATTTACTATACTCTGAGCATCACCTAAATTAAAAATTTAATTTAATTTAATAATAAATAATATCAATAAATTACATATGAAGCGTATACACTATTTTTCCGTTTCTATCATTAATTTGAATTAAATAACAATTATTCAAAAAATAATTTAAATTAAAAATTTAAGTAACAAATAGAATATAATTTAATGTAATTTATATTGAAAATTTATTCATTTGAGTAATAAATACAATATAATTTACTAACCTTTCAGAAAATGTACTCGTTGAACATGTCTTTTAACGTTATCTTTTCTCGAGAATTTTTTATCACATAAAACACAATCATAAAAATCATTTTTATGTACAGTATCGACATGACGTTTTAAATCCTTTGAAAAATTAAAAGTTTTACAACAAACACTACATGTGAAACTCATGTTGATGATATCTGATAACTAAAAACACAGAATGATATCGAAGCAACGACCAAATCACTATTAAACCGGTACAGGACATTTTTCCTGGTTTTAATTGTTATATTTTTGCAAATGTTAGCAATTTTACTACTATCCCTAGACGCCGATGGTTTTCTCGGAATTTTTCTTATTCGACTTTTTCACCTGATTAATCACAACCATCCAACTCACCATCCTAGTGGCCGATCGTTTTCGCAGAATTTTACTTATTCGATGTTGCAATATGTTTAAATGATACAATTGTATTTTATTTTACAACCTTTTTTGTATACTAGATGATGCATTTTATTTTACAATCTTATATTTCCAGACAATATGTTGCAATTTATAATCTTGAGTTTTTAATTTCTAAAGATTTCTCACGTAATTTATTCACAGCATGATCAGGATTTTTTCCAGTAAATAAAACACGCGTTTCTTTAAATTAAACGAGAGTAATTTATTAATCATTTAATTGTTCATATAATTATTTCATTTTTTTTTTTAAATACAATATTTATTTTAACACATATTTCTATTAAAAAATAATTAGTTATAAGAACATTATATCGTAACTAGAGGTGTGATCTTTTCTTCCGTTGCATACAAGTTTGAGATTTTCATCGATTCCTTTGTTTAAATCTTCACGAGTGAATGTAAATCTTGCGGGTAAATAAACTTGAAATGACGGTTCATTATCAAGTTTTACTTCAGCCACTGGAGTCTCATTCGAGTATTTTGATTTTATCACGTACAGTCCCAGAACCTTGTATTCTACTCCTATTTTAAGATCAGACACACACATTCTACGTTTATTTTTCATACCATTCAACCAATCTTTATTTATCATACTCATCTAAAATTTAAAATACACATATCATTGTAAAATAATAAATCTTGTGTTTTAATATGAATTATTAAAAAACTTACTTTTATCTGTGGATGATAGTCTTTAAATTATCCTCACGTTGATTACGTTATTTTACAAACTTCATCGATTACAAATCAAAAATTACTGAATTTTATTAAAAGAAACTATAGTTTTTATACCAAAATAATAACGTATATATAACAACTATTAATGGAGGGAGATAATATTATTTCAGAACGCATATAAATTTATTGCGATCATTTATTAATGAAACGTTTTTAAAGTGTGGCGGTAATAACGTGATAAGGGTGGCGCTAATAATTTTGAAAAGTGAGGCGCCGGAGGAGATTATAAGTGAGGCGCTATTATTTGTTATCAAATTGAATTTTTATTTTGATAAGGAAGGCGCTAATAATTTTGATAAGTGAGGCGCCGGAGGAGATTATAAGTGAGGCGCCGGGGAGATTATAAGTGAGGCGCCGGAGGAGGCGCAAGTGAGGCGCCCCCACAAACACACATCATATTTATTTAAAAATTATATTCAAAAAAAAAAAAACTTATAAAAATTATAATAATTTTTATATGGCATCAGTCAAACATGGTACTCGAGTTTCCAAGTAACCCGTAAAAGAGAAATAGCTAGGCAATATCTGCGGTCATAAAACACTACATATTCTCCGACGTGCGACCGGTTTTTTGTACTTTTGACAAAGTTCCGAGACGAGTCCAGGCAATAATCATACACCAAATTAAAGCTTATAAAATATCCTATCGAATGAAATTGGTCAAAAATGGTACTCGAGTTTCGAAGTAACCCGTATAAAAGAAATTGCTGGGCAATATCTGCGGTAATAATACTACATATTCTCCGACCTGAGTACGGTATTTTGTACTTTTGACAAAGTTCCGAGACGAGTCCAGGCAATAATTATACACCAAATTAAAGCTTATAAAATATCCTATCGAATGGCATTAGTCAAAAATGGTACTCGAGTTTCCAAGTAACCCGTAAAAGAGAAATTGCTGGGCAATATCTGCAGTAATAACATCGTATATTCTCCGACCTGTGAACGGTTTTTTGTACTTTTGACAAAGTTCCGAGACGAGTCCAGGCAATAATTATACACCAAATTAAAGCTTATAAAATATCCTATCGAATGGCATTAGTCAAAAATGGTACTCGAGTTTCCAAGTAACCCGTAAAAGAGAAATTGCTGGGCAATATCTGCGGTAATAACATCATATATTCTCCGACCTGTGAACGGTTTTTTGTACTTTTGATATTACCTTTAAATTACTTTAGATATTATTCGATATAACTCATCTTGTATTCTATTTAACACTCAATGCCGTCCCACTTAGTTTTCTAAATATTTTGTATTATTTAATATTTATAAATGTTAAATATGTTAATTTAGAATTATCAGACTGCGGACTGTCTATCATAAGTTTTGTTAGTAACTTATAAATAGGTGTGGTTACAATGAGTGAAAATACAACGGATTTTTTGAACACTTAGAAAAAAGCAATGATATATTAATAATATTGTTTTGTTTAAAAATATTATTTTAAAAACTTAGAACATTCCATTTAATACTTATAACCTATATTTGTAATTAATGGTTGTTTATGATAAAAATCGCATAATTTTAGATCATGTATTATCTAAATTATTTCATTCGACTAATGATGATTAAGGTCCTTAAAAGTATTGATCAATTTATTTACATTACAAAAATATAAATAATTATGTATAATAATGGAAAGGAATTATCATATTATCATCGTTGAATAGTTCTTTTATGTCGTTTTTTTATCTGTGTAAAATACTGTTATTTAGTTTATTATTTACCATTGAATAGATTTTGTTCTATCTTTTGTCTCGTCACATAAGATAAAATAAAAGTCATTTTTCTTATAATCGTTCAGCCTATATGTTTCACTAATACAGTCAATCAAATGTTTGTCATATCACCTGAATTTTCTAACAATAAGTGTTTTAAGTCATTCCTGTAAGTATCAGGGTCAAAATTTTTTCTGAATATAGACTTATTGAGTATAGTAATAGCATAATATATAATAAAAACACCACAGTTATAACCATCTACTTGTGTTGGTATATTTTTATATGGGCATTGAATAAAATTTAAGTCAGGAAAGCTATTACCATTATAGGTACAATGTTTTTTCATTGCATTTAACAATTTTTTGAATAGCATCAAATGATTTCGATCATTTTGTGGATCTTTTGTAGGGTAAATCGGATCTATGATATAGCATACCTTTATCTTCAAGTGTATTACTGCAATAATCCAATGGTGACATGCTGATATAATTGTATGCCATGGCATAAAGACTGTACAATTTTTTGCAAAATTAAATTTTTCATTCAAGGTTTCATTTAGTTCTGTTCTGCTTAAAATTTCTAACACTTCATTGCAATATAATACCGTTGACATCGTATGTTTATTCTTAGAATTAATGGCCAAACAGATGTCAATTACAAAGTTAGATAAATATGTGCCCTTATCCAGACATATGAAATCATCTATTTCTAATGTTTGTAAAGTATACACTGTTTTAGGGATTATATGATAATAAGTTCCAACTCTAAAGTTGAATTTTTTGTCTCTGCTTTTTTTCAGTGCTTTAACTTTACCTTCAATATCAACTACCATTCTGTAATATTCTAAGTTTTTTGGCAATTTGTTACTATACAGATCATTTCTTACAACACTGTGATCTGGGGTTTTGTAACTACCTGGAGTTGAAATAGAATTGATAAGTCTATTTTCAGTTTCTATTTTACAATCTATCAATGAAATTTTACTATCATCTATTTTATGAATTATATTGTCTGAATTAGAATTTTTATTATCACTTACAATNCTGAATTAGAATTTTTATTATTACTTACAATTTCTTTAAAACGCTCATTTGTAATTGAGATATCAAGTTTTTGACAATCAATAATTTCAGGAGAAATATTATGAATCTTTTGAATTTCTTCACTGTTGTCTTCAACTATTTCACTTATACATTGTATATTTAAAATTTTGGGTGAATCAGAACTTGTAAAATTATCTTTTACTTCCATAGCTCTTTTATTTAATATTAAAGAGTTATCATTTTGGCTACAAAATTTTGATGAAACTGAAATGNTTTACGAAATTTTGATGAAACTGAAATGTCTTTAATTTCAGTTACGTTGTTAAAATCATTCATAAACAATATCATGCCATCTCCCTTTTGTTTCTCAGGTGAAATATATAAATTATTTGACCTTTCTTTTTCAGCAGACTTTGATATTGCTTGAAATGGGTGATGCCCTATTGGCTTAAGGTGCTTTTGTCTTTTTGGAGTTCTACCCCAACTTTCTTCAGCATTTAGGTGAGCATTGTCTCCTTTATTCTTTAAAGGAGTGAGAACTTCACTACGTTTACCATGGAAATCGAGTTGTCTCTTAAAAGAAAAGTTAGCCTTATTTGCCCTTTTTTTTCTTATATTATATTTTTGTTGTTTGAATACGTTCAATACAAGTGCTCTATTCAATTCAGCCAAACGACCGCATTTTAATTTAGTGTTACATTCCAATAAACTTTGTTTAACCGTTTTGAAATGTGACTCTACTGTTGCATTACTTTGACGTACTGTTATATTAGCACCGTTATCAGCTTTAACATTCATAATAGAAGTCCAAAGTGATATATAAGGTATACATTTTTTAATAAACTCTTCTAAATAAACCTCATCATAATATGAGTTATTTTGGCCATGTTGATCACTATTTTCAATTTTATCACGTACCTCTTTTTTAATAATTTGAAATTTACAATAGAAAAGAGATTTACTAGTGTTTGACGAACATAAATCATTATCTAATGATTTCAACTTATCATCCTCTTTATAAAATTCCTCATCAACAACTTTACAACCATTTGTCATACCGTTTATAGCTTCTGATACCTCCTCATTTAATAACGGTGTTAATAGAATCAAAGAAAACATTCTAAACCATGTTTCAATATCATTAATTGTTTTAGTATCAAACAGTATACAAATCCAGTCTATTATAGAATTTCTAACATTTTTTATTTTACCAATTTTTGGTCCCTGATAATACTTATATACATGTTTTACAATGATTTTAGTGAAATGATTCACGCAAATGTTTATTATTGTTACATTTGAAGCATCAATATCTTCATACAAAACTCTGTAAGTCCAATTCAAGTAATCAAATATTGAAGTAAAACCGTTCCAAGCTATTGATAACGAATGCATTTGTGCAAAACTAAAATCTGTAACTACATTAGGAAATACAGGCTAAGAAAGATTACCTTTAATAACAAAACTCTTAAAGGCCACAAGCCACGGTGTTATTACTGTTATATCATGTGCTGAACTTAGCATTTCCAATAATGGACAAGTTACTGTTGATTTCAATGGCAATGGCACTCGAATAACTACAGCGTAGTAAAGAGGTCTTTTGCTCTCTATATCTATTTTTCTAACTACTGAACCTGTAGCATCCAAATAAACAGTAAACGAACTTTCAGGGTTTGTCTTCATTTTCTTTATTATTTGTAGTTGCTTTTCGCTGTACATATATAAATATGCAGGCAAACCTACATGTTTCATAAACAATTTATTTTTAGGATCTTTAAACCTACAAAGTAAATCATCTAGATCATTTTTTGCATAATCATCGGCACTGAGAGCCTCAGATCTTATTTTGCGTATTACATCTTCAGATTTAATTTTTTGAAGGTTTCCACGATCTAACTTTGAGGGTGATGCCTCATCGATCACTGTAGACCTATATTTATAGCTACTAATTGCTTTCATTTGTGTCCTAACTAAATCACGTTCAACACCCCTGACTTTATTAGTCATCCCATCGTTTTCAGTAATGTGGTAATAATTTATACTAGAACTAAAGATTTTGGCCTCTGCGCCACCCAACTAGTTGGTTCTACTAAAGCTTTAAAACTTTTACAACCTGGGTGAAGACAGTACATATAAACACATATTATTCCAGTATTCGGATAATTCACTGACTTAGCATTTATTAAACAGGTATTATTTACAGTTTTCATACGTATTCGGAACATTATTGGAAAAATCTCTTTTATAAATTGAGGCTTTCCTAAAATCGTAAGGTATGTCATATAAAAATTGCACCTTAAATACGACTGCGAATATAGTACATTCAGATATTTTGTTTCACAATTAATCAACGTGTGAAAACGATTATAATTAGGGTANTTCTTGAAAAACACAACTTTTAAAACATTTTCTATAATTTTCCGGATTATTAGGATAATCATTCATACTACCTATAGGTAAGACTATGCCAGACTTAACAGGTGTTCTGCTGTAATATGCATTTTTTATAGGCGTCGCCGTACGTTTATACTGTTTCATAGGCCCATAATGTTTGACAGGAGTGACATTATGATTACCATAGTCTTTTACCAGAGTACTATGGTGATTAATTTCACTTTTTAAATCAAAATCTCCTATTGCAGGACTTTTTACAGCAAGACTTCTGTTTACTGACGCAGACACCAGCGTACTTACAGTTTCAGAGATAACTAAATCAAAACTATTCACTGTAAGATATTCATTACTACTACAATATTCCATAATAGGATTTTGTGTTAGTGGAAATTCCATTATTGAAGTACATAAACACTTTGTTTCATCAGATTTAAGTGGGCTGGGTTGGATTGTACTCCACATTGTAACATCGCTATCAGGTATTTCAACATTACTTAATGAACTATCCGCAGAATTTTGTGGACAACTAACATTAAATATATTCCTACATCTTTTAAGAATTTTAATATAATTTTTTTTATCAGTAGATATTTTTAACTCTTTACACACATTACTCAGAACAGATTTATTGTATTTTTCGAAATCTCTACTTGAATAATTATATTTACTTAAGCATTCTAACACATTAGTGTCGTTCATAGAGCTACTCAAGTCACATAAATCTAATGGGACATTTTCTGTTCGACCACACCTTACTAATGTAATGAGTTTGCGCAAAGCAGACTTCTCATTTTTTAAAGAATTAATAACAGTTTTACTCATGTCCTTGTTTCTATTTGCATAAAAAAAGACCATGCAAATGTGCTTGACACAACTATGGCTCCTTGATAAATTATTATAATCAATATCAGGATATTCAGAACAAATGAATTGAGCTATTTCATTTATTTTATTTTTCAAAGCCATTTTTAATTAAAAACCAAAATTAGTCTTGCCAATTAAAGGAATTTAAAAATCGGGCTACAAAAACTTAAATAATATTTGTATAGTAACAAATACTAAACAAAATATGTTGTTAACGCTACAAAAGCTGAGCAACAAATGCTGAATGACTAGCTACAAAAGCTAGTGTGAGCTACTAAACTCAAAAAAAAAAACTTAACCTATAAAAAAAATAACTAAATTTAACTTAAAAATACTAATAAAATAGAAAATAAGAGCACGATTGACAATTACCATAACAGAATGCTCATTTGAACATGCATCTGAAACAAAAATTAAAAAAATTAAAAATAGAATATACACTATACTTATTCTTTAAACTTAAACAAAATTTATCTAATTTATTTAATTATGTCAAAATCATTAAAAGGCAGAAGATTTAACACACCAAATTCGTTTATCAAACAAAATACATTTCCTTCCATATTAAATATATGAATTATATTCTTATAAAATATTAAAAAAACAAGTTTAATAGAATTTATACATGATATTTGTGTGGAAATTTATTGTATTGCAGAAAAATGATTAACACAGACAAATTATTTAATTTTTAACACTTTATAAGCAACGGAAAATAACTAAATAATTTTCTAACATTTAATCTTGATAAATATGCATGTTGTCATAAAAAAAAAATTAAATTGTACTTTTAAGGCATAAGGTATGAACTTAAATAATATTTTATCTGTTATAGAAATCTAGAAATTAAGATAAATAAACTGAGCCAAAAATTCTTTATTAAATATTATTAATAGGGGACTGGGGACACATTTGAATTGATGAAATAAAACTAGTTGTAGTGATAAATTAAGTTTACATAAAATACAGAACATTAGTTATACTCTACCCAACTTTTTATGTATAATAAAATATATAAAAACATATCACTACAACTAAATTTATGTAATCAATTCAAATCTACTCCACATTCAAATGTACATCAGTCTCTCCTAATAGTTTACACAAGTGATCTAGCATGTTCTGACAATTTTAATAAACTTTTTTAACTTAACAACTAGAAACAAACGACGCTTCCAAAAAGCCATTTTTATGAATCGAAATCACATATTATTATATGTACACATATTAGAAATATATGTATAAAAGTTGGATAATAATATAATACATTACCTGGTTTATATTGAAAATTGTGCCCGAAATTTTCTAAGAAAATAATTAAATTAAAAACGTGTGAAGGAAGTTAACACATCCGCACACGTCAAATACTTACCGAATCCTGATGTGTAAATAATCCTTAATAGCTAATAAGAAATAATACATTGTAGCCAACAAATTTTTTTTGTCTTTTTCATCTCAGAGGATATTGCATTAGCATGGAATAGATTAGATTATATCTATTATGGGGTATTATTTTTAATCACAGATATACTTAATAAACTATTTTTCATGACAAAATAGATAGGTATGTCAGCAACAAACAAGTTTTGGACCGTTTGACGCATCCCGCCCTTCTCACCCATAGTAGTGGTTCGCATCATTTCATTGGCCGTAGGTTTGCCCGCCAAAATACAATTCTTTAAATCAAATACTTGACAGCAACTTTAATATGTTGTATTGTTTTTTATGATACCTTTACCTTTTACTATTATTGATTAATATCAATCTATTGTGATATCTATTTATACTACAATATAAACAAATATGATCAATTTGCAAATTATTTGATATGAAATGATTATGCCGGGTATATTAAATAAAATGAACAGCGTTTATTTTAAGTATCTTAAAATATTTTGAAAACTTGATATACTTACAAACTTTTACTTAAATTTAAAAAACAAAAATTTACTTAATAAATAAATGTATGTAATAAGTAAAATTAAATTACCAAATAACATTAGGCCAGTTCGCCTTAGGATAACTGTGCTGACAAACCAACCTCTTGGCTTTATAAAAAAAAAAGTAACATTAATGTGAAGCAAATTATATATCATTTAATGCAATGAAAGCACTTCTAAATATTAAGTATATTACATACATAATTTTTCATTATTCCTCTATACGCTACAAATTATTTTTGCACAATGTTAAATATTAACGCATAAATGATATCACTATATTTATGGAAAATGACCATACAAATATTAGGCCAATGACATGAGGCGAACCATCTATAGGTGGGGTGAGGAGTGGGTTGCGTATCACAAAGTTGTTGACATACCTATCTATTTTGTCCTGCTATTATTATTAGTATCTATACTATAGCTCTATAGAGCTATTTTACTTTGAAGTATATGATACACAAAATATTATTCTTTATTAAATAAATTAAGTAACATATTTCTCACAAAAATTATTTTTTATTTTTTTTTTTAAATTTAGATTAAGAAATATCTATACTGTTACAACTCGCTGTTCTTCAGAACAAATATGATAAACAGAAATGTAAAAGGATTTTGTAGAAATAAAACAAAAATTAAGCCAAGTAATGTTTTATTATCATTTTTTTTTTTCATTTTTTTTCTTCTAAACATAAATTTTCGAAATTAATTTCCGGATTTGGATTCAAATCCACCTCCAGAGGAGGAGGATCTTTTTCTTGTGGCATATTTTCAATTATCTCTGGAGATGGATTTGTCAATGAAGATCTAGACAGATTTTGATTTTGATTATGCACAGTAATGAACTGTGCAAAAAGTTCTAAAACAAAAAACAAATTATTCAATATTTAATTATTTATTATCAATATAGGTATTATATTGTTGATTTAGATATTCCATTATGATATAAACAGTAATCAAATATTATAATAGATCTAAATAAATACACTATTTTGAATCAAGTCACTTTTTTCAAAATGTGTAAAATTGGATATCTTATCATTGATTATCTAATATTACAACATTTAGTTGAAAAGTCAATTTTTATTCCAAATAATGTTTTAATTCAAATGTGTTACAAGATAAAATAATACTTTTTATCTGTCAAAAAAAATTATTGTAGTCAAATAAGACATTTTCGAATTGAAAAAGTTTTAAAATTTCACAATAGTTCTTGAGAAAATGAGTGCCTTTTATTAAAATAGTTTTATTAAATAGTTATTAAAATTAAAACTTTTTTTCAGTGTTTAATTATTTTCTATAAAAAGAAAAAATTGTTTGGTTCAAAATAATACTTTAATTTATTGTTATTTTTTGATTAATTAAGTGGGCCATGATAATTGAATCTTCTGTATAACAAGTTTATTGAACTGTTACAAAAATAAATATAAAAGTATTATCTTTATGGGGACATTGGCTAATTATGTGGCCCTTTGTACGACACAAATAACACCCTATAACAAATTTTAAATTTAAGTAAATATAATATAAATTAATATTACATTTTAAACAACTAATAATATTAGTTGTTTAAAATGTATTGTTCAAAATTTTCAAATATAAATGTTGGAGATAGATATAATGTCTAATATTAAGTAATCTACTATATATTATATTTAACTAAACAAAAAGAAAATATAGAATACATTTTTATTAAATTATTATTAATATTAAATTTTTATGGTAAAATTAATACCTTCTTAGCTTCATATTGAAGATAAAAATATAATAATATTCTTATTATTATTATTATTATAATCTTATCCTTAAGATGTACAAAAAATTACCCACTCCAAATAATAATCAAGTATGACATATACATTTAAATTTTTCTAAATTAATTTATTTTATTTCAATGTTCTAATGAAGGACTAAGGACAATAATGTTTCACTTTTCTGTTTAATTAATCTAGAAGTACCACGTCCCAGTTATTTTTGAATACCAAATTTATTTAAATAAACTCATTCTAAACCATAAATTTATTACATTTATTAAAGCTCCTGGATTAACACACAGTTAAAAATTTTATAATTCAGTCCCAATTTTGGGGAGCTTAATACACGGAGAGCATAAAATGATAAACAAGCCATAACTGAGCTATATTTTAAACATAATTCTAAAAAAAATGTATAATAATGTATTATTTGTATAATGAAATTTGAGTATCGTACAATTGTAGTATTACTATGTAGTAATTTTCTGTATTGTATAATGTTGTAGAATTTCACTAAAATAAAATTTACTTACTACGTGAAGAGGACATCTCTATTTTATTGGTACCTCGACCACGGCCTCCACTTCGACCACGACCACCATCACCACTATCACCATAAAAATATGCTTGTTTTATATTGTACATCTGTAATAGAAAAATAATATTACAATAAATTAAAGCTACAAATAAAAAAAGACATTTTATTTATTAGTGGTAAACCACAATAATTCAATAAAATGGAATATTCAAAAAAATATAAACAATATGTACATTAGATCAGTTTGCATTGGGGCTATGAGGGCTTAAGATACTATAGTTCCCACAAATAAACTGCATTTTAAGGGAGAATGAAAAAGATACAAAGCTATGTCTTTAACAAGCTCTTCACCTTGTTTACTGTCCAGAATTATAAAAGTATATAAAAATGGGACTATAGTCCCATTTATAACTAACAAAAGTCAAAAAACATATTTTTAGAGAAATTGAGTGGCTAGTGTTAAAAAGATCACCATGTATTTAAAACTTTATTTATTTTTATATTTATTATTTATCTAAATATCGATTCAGATTTTTATTTTTAGTTGTAATATACCAAAATTTTCTTTATATTTTTTTGTTTTATTAATGTTAATTTGTTAGAGTTATGAATATGGAGAAAAACAACAAAGACAAAATGGTTAGACAAGAAAAGAAATGAGCAAGTGCTAGAAGAAAGACAGCTAATGAAGGCGATTAAATCAAGAAAAATAAAGTTAATCGAACACATAATCCGACACAATGACTTTATAATCAATTTCTTCGAAAGAAAAATAACTGGGAAGAAACCAAGAGGACGCCCGAGGAAACAATATTTTGTAAATATCCTGGAACTCATAAACTGTGCGTCTTTTGTTTCACTGAAGAATTTGGCGTCTAACAGAGGAGAGTGGCATCAACAATTAGACATTGCCGCCTTTAATAGATGATGATGAATGTGATAATGCAATTAAATATCTATATATTAAACTGTATCACGTATGGATATCTATAAATAATAATTATATACAAGTATCGAGAAATATATTATTTATTTCTATAAAATATCCTGCAAAATAATGTCAGCGTTTTTTATATTTTAGAAATATATTTTTAGTATGTCGTGAAAATATTGTGACAAAATTTCAAAATATACTGGTTATATTCTAGAAATATTTCATTGCTAAGTGAATGAATATGTTTAAATTACTTTATACTATTTGGTCGTAAAATGAAATATGGCTTTAAAAATTTGACGTATCTATACTTATGAGAATATGCAAACAAAACAATCAAAATGGACTTATGGTCTTTTATCTTCACTATATACAATAATTGGTTATTTATTAACATAGAAGCCAATACATAATAATTTTTAAAACAAAATTTTAAAAATTCAAAAAACAAAAAAAAATTAATGTTTGTTAAAAATTATTTGTAAAATGTTTATAAAAAAAATTATCCATTGGATGAATGCGGTTCTAATTAATAAGATGTGCAAAAAATAAAGCCTTAATTCAACAGATGAATAAGTTTTCAAGTAAGTGTTATTGGAAAATAACAATTAATAATTATCAATTAGTTAAAAGAACTTACATTACGACATGTGTTCGGCAGAACTGTTGAAAAGAATTTGACAAATCTTAAACGTTTAACATCAACGATTAGCAAATTTAAGCTGTCAATCGATTATTTTTCAGTCACTAGGATCGATAATATTGTTTATGGACCAATCCCCTTCAACCATAATTTATTATATAGAAAGCCTAATTTTAAATTCACAATAAAAAAATCGTTCCCGCCAAATATGCAGGTGACGAATAATCCTTATCTTAATCACTTACACGAGTATTACTTTAACGACAAGTCTCTTCTGAGAAACGTTCCAGATGAATATACACCAGGGAAATGCAATCGATGATTCTAAGGATGTTTCCGGTGGCGTTTCTATTTGCGTAATTTGGACAATTCAATTCAAAATATTTGAAGTTACCCACTATTAATATAATTAACCGCTCAGTATTGGACTAAAGATCACAACTTTAGGTGCAATCGCATGACACGATAGTTTTTATCTTCTTCCGATGCTAATATTATAATTTATTATTATTATATAATTCTTCTAAAACTAACGGCTATAATTACCATTAATATTAGTTATTACTTTTGCAAGTCTGTAGATTTGCAAAAAAAATACTCTCTAAAGATTATCACAATGTTAAGTTTATAAAAAGTGATGATAAGAGTGTGCTAACGAGCAATGATTATATGAAAAAAGGTAAAGAGTATTTTGAAAAATTACTAAATTAGGAGTATCTAAGAGAGACAGAGGATATTTTGAGGAACGAGGGACTGGTAGATTTAATTAGTGAGAAAGAGGTATAGAAGGATGTGATTCAATATAGCAGTAGGACCAGATGATTATAGTGAGACTAGTTATGATGTATAGTTCAGCGTGTTGGGCGATTGATAAGAGAATAAAGCAGAAAATGAATGTAGCAAAGATGAGAATGATTAAATGGAAAAGTGGAGTGACTAGAGAAGATAGGATAAGGAACAAACATATAATAATAATAATGTATGTTTTTTCGTTTATTGTGCAAACAATGATTGGTCAAATCGAGTATTTTATATAAAATATTCAAAATTAATAGTCTTGTTAAAACTAAAATATATTTATTCTGTTGACTATATCTTTTTAAACACATTAATAAGAATTAATAATTATATCAATAAAAAAAATTAAGAAAAACGTCCATAAATTATTACTAGGGCAGTGTGATAAGAATTTCGTACCTGGAGTTCTGGAGTATTAAGTGATACCGTTATAGGTGTAATAGTTGCAATCAATTTTTAAATTGTTCAATTTTAGCAAATAATCAATTCAATTAA